TTTAGTTTAATTGATTTAGAGATCTCACTTCGAGATCTCACATCGAGCTCTCACTTCGAGATCTCACATCGAGCTCTCACTTCGAGATCTCACATCGAGCTTTCACATCGAGAACTGGTTTTTTACTCACTTTTGGCTTATAATTTTCGAGCTCAAAGAAAAATGGAAAGAAATAAAAGATGAATTGGACTAATAAACAATTGTTTAAGGAACTGAGGACAGTTTACTTGCAGAGGCCCGGGATATATGAGGATACTTTATGAAAGATGACCACAACGAGGACTCTCTTGGTCTTATCTTATTGGTTGTTGGTTAAACACCTTCTTAAGCCCTTTAAAAGGGCTTAAGAACCTTGACATTGCATTCTCTTGACACTTGATCCTTAAAGAATAAACCCGTTTTGACCCTTAGTTTATGTTTTATTGTTTATTGAAAATAAACCGGTTTTTGCCCTTAACAATATTTCCCACGCTAAAGGGTTTTCAAATGTTGCAAAAAAAGGTTTGCTTAAAAATAGTCGAGTTAAAACTCGTCCCTTGAAACTGTCTTTCATTAAATTCAATCCTAAATCATGATCAACATTTGCTTGTCCAACGATTAAATCCATTGTCAAGTTAATTGTTAAACTGAGTGTTACATTGGACGAGACTATTGGTTACAAGAGACTCTTGCCTTTACTCAATTTTCCTGTTATTACATGTTTGGATAGTTTGAATGGGTTTTGTCTTGTTACTCAACAAAACCAATTGAAGCGAATGCATGGTAATTTATACAATCTTGAGTTTAATTGATTCCCTGTATTTGACAGTTATAATTTACTGATTATAAGATAATTGAGTTACTTTGAAAGCCAATCAAATGACACTTTATATACAATAATAAAGACAAAGAATAGAGGTGAAAGACAAAGTGGTTAATCAGTTCTAACCTATTGAGCTGTTAATCAAGTCTCGGTAACAATGGGAAAACAAGTTTACACCATTCAACCTGCTATATTAACAAGTTTAATATTGACACAAAAGGCAAGGAACAGGGTTAATTTAAATGAATCGATGACAATAGATTTACTTCAATTGTTCAACTTCTTCTTCTTGTTTCAGTCTACTTTTCTCGTTAAAATTGATTGTGTTACAGTAATATTTTCATGCAACATTTGAGAGAAGAAAAAGATTTTTTCAATTTCCATTTTTTTCCCCATTAATGTATATTGTATACTCGACAGACTTTTAAACAATCCTTATTCACCTTTGAACATTAATGGGAAAATAAATTTCACCTGAAAAAGTGTATAATGTAAAGTTCAAAGGTAAAAATATTTCCATCATGTCACAACAGTTGGGAATCGATTCAAAATCTGATTGATTAGGCTTGAAACAAGAGACTCTTGGAGAAGCCAACTTTACATATTCACTGTTTTCATGAAACATCAAGATAAGTCTATGATGCATTGAATTTGAAATTTGTTGAAACATTCAGTTAATTGTGATTCAATTGATTGATCTATTCATCTAATTTGTAACCCAAACTATGGAACCTAAAAAATCTCAAGTTTCAGTGTGAAAAAGTTAAAGATTGTAAACATAAATGTCTGAAACTGAATGGAATATTTGAAATGGAAAATTGAGAAATTGGTTTGAAATTGAAAATTTTATTCAATGAAAAAAGTAATTTATTCACCATTTGGATTCATCGAGTTTTAGTTCTCATAGATTTACTTCATTAAAGAATAATTTTCTTCTGAAAAACTTGTTTGCTGGAAAATTTGATGAATTTTTGTCGTTGATCAATCAAAATGCAAACATGAGCAAATTAAAGTTGAAACATTGCATGAATTATAAATGAAATATGCATTCATAATGATCAACTATTGAAACATGAATAAAGGTCTACATATAATACATTAGATGTTGGAAAATGTAATTCAACTGACGAATCACATTATTTGCTTCATTTCTTTCTTTTTATCCTGCTTATTACTCGAATAATCTGTTAATCTCATTTTCATGGCCACTGAATTTTGTCCATTTTTATCCAGATTATGAGATAATCTTTCACATCTTATGAGATTGTATTAATTATTTTTAGCCAATCTTGAAAGAGATGAAGTTTAAATTGAGATTTTGGCTGTTAATGAGTTGAAATGATAATTTGTTTCATCAGCCACTTCCAAAGAATTTGGAAAACTCTTCTTTCCGTTAATTCTTGTTCTTCTTCTTTTTCTCACCCAATTTTCTTGAAACATTTTTCTAGTTTCAAGTAACTTGGATCCACTTAAATGTTACTCCAATAGTCAAGTCAATAGTTTGAATTGATGCAAACAACAGTGAAAAGGTGAACATCGTTTAATGTGCAAAAGGTAACGTTTGATGAATGTTTGATTAAAGCTTACGAACTTGCTTCCTCTTCTTTGCTGAAGAAAATTGATTTTCTCAAAATGTTAACATCCAAATCTTATTGGCAAGGTTATTGTTTTCTGATCATATTGAAATAATGACGATGATTATGGTGATATATTGAAAATAAGGAGAGACTGGATAAGAGGATAAAAGAAGATTTTGATAGAGTAAAAGATTGACAGACTAGGAAAGGAAACATCATCCATCATAATGGTAGGTTTGATTCTTTGGGTGAAAAGATTGGAACAGAAATGCGAAGAAAAAAGTAAGATGGTGATGAGGGAAGATAAAAAGAGGAAGAAGAAACTCATTTTGCAAGTTGAGAAGTAAAAGGTACAAAGTTGATGGAGGAGAAAAGATGAGGATAAAATGTAGGAAAATGGAGAAAAGGAAAAAAGTAAGGTCAAGGTAAAAGAGAAAGGGAAAAGGAATGATGAGAATCATGAGAATGATGAGGAAAATGATGAAGATGAAGATGGTAAAGATTGAAAACAGGTTGAATAATAAAAAAGGTTAAAGTGAAGAATCGTTAGTAAAATGCATTTTCTTGTTGCTCTTGTAATGAATGCATTATTTGATTTTGATTTTCATGTTTACTGAATCTCTTTTTTCTCGTTCACTAAAAAGAAAACGATTTTCATTGAAATAATCTGATAATAAGGTTCAAGATGGTGAATCAGTTGCGACTTTTTTTGTATTTGTTTAGACTTTGTTGGTTCCATTGATTTGGTTTAATGACAAGTTTTCAAAATTTTCTTGTAAATGACGAGAAATTAACTGTACAATGTATTTGCTTATGGAAGTGAGAAAAAATTTGTTTCCAAAAAATCCATTGTTCCAATTTGTGATTGCAAGTTATTAGCTAGATTTTTGTGTGTTTTACCGTCATTTGTTGACACATTTTTACACCAATTAGCATCATCATTCATTTTGGTGAACATTTTTTCATGTTCCATTGAAAGAAAATTTGCAAATTTTCCTTTTTTTTGCCTCTCGCATTGTCAACAGTTTAATGGAAACTTACATCGTTCCTGTGTAATCATAAATGTGACTTTTGTGACAAAGGTTTTTATCCATTAATATATACTATGTACAACAGTGGATTGAAATTGAATGGGAGAGGATGATGATGATGATGATGGGTGAGAATTGAATGGAAAGAACAACAAGTAACAGACAAACAAGCAAAGAACCAGAAATCAGGGAGAAGATGATAAGCTGAATTGAATTGAGAATCATGCCAACAAATAAACTCATTGATAGAGTTTCTTCAACTTCACTATTCCGTCAGTAACTAAAATTGAACAAATCTATTTTAGAAAAGTCTTTTTTTCTGAAAAGGTCTATTTTCATATTTTTCATTCTCATACTCATTCTCTTCTTTTCCTCTTCTCTTTTTTCCTCGTCTTCATGTTGACTCATTTCTGTGATTCTTTTTATACATCATCTCAACAATTTCTTCATTTTCATCCTTTACTCGACTTTTCAAATGTTCAACTTGCAACCTTTTTCAATCTTCTAGCCATTTCATTGAAAATTCAATTTCACTCAAATTTGTTGACATTTTGTTTTCCTCTTCACTTTTCATTAACAATTGATATGCAATTGTTGTTGGATATCAACTTACAAGGTTTAATGTTGACTCTTGGGCAAATGTTTCAAAAAATATGAACAAATTTTGCGAGTAAAAATAAAAAACACAAAAAACTGTGAGAAGCGAAGAGGGAAAGATGATGATGTTGATGTTATTGGTGGTGTTGGTGGTGGCGGTGGTGATGAGAAGGATAGGGATGAAGGTAAGGTGATACGAGGATGGAAACGATGGAAACGAGCATGCATCAGTGGAATGGGTGAGAAAGATGAGACGAAAGAGGAAAGAGTGATGAAGACAGGGAAAGATGATGAAGAAGGAGAAACAAAGTACAAAAGTGTAAATAAAAAGAAGGGAAAGAAGGATGATTAGAGATGATGAGAGAGAGAGGGAGAAATGAAGATGCTAATGTTAACTTGTTGTTGTTTTTATTAGCTTTGGTTGGTGTTTTTTTTTATGAATATAAAGATTGTAAAGTTGATTTTTATTAAAGTTATGAGTTTTATCAAAGTGCTATGGTTTTTAGGTAAATATTAGATAATATAATAGCTACTGATGATCAACATGATTCATTAATTTCAGTCTCAACTTGTTTCTATTGTATTATTATTTCAATACTTGGAGTGTTTTTGCTTTTAACTGTTTACCTTGTACCTGATTCATTAATAATTATTGTTCATGTTATTGTTGTTGACATACAGCCACACACAGTGATTAAACAATGTTGAGACATGAATCTATGTACTTAGTTGTATTCCCTTAACTAATGTGAGTCTGTTTATCTGTTTATGACGAATGTTATTGAAAAAGTAAAATCAAAGTCGTGATAAATTGCATGATGCTGTTATCTGTTCCATGTTATTCTGTTATCCTCTTTACTTTCTTTCATCTGTAAACTTGTCTTTTGTTTTTCGTTTTCACTTGGTCTGTTGTCCATTAGTTGAAAGATTGTTGTCTGATTGTTGATTATTAATTGTTTTTTTCTGTATTTGTTTCATTCTTTTTGCATTCAGATCTTTGTCAAAATCGGAACAAGACACGGAATCTCATTATCAAGATACAAGTTCAAATAACAACAATAACAACAACGAGGAAACTCATCAGTCTTCATCGGCAGTCAAACAATCGACTACAACTGGACCAGTTTCCTCTTCAGTCTCTTCATCTCAACCTCATCCATCACCAAAACATACTCGTCCTGCTCATGGATCATCACACTCACCAACACCTTGTTCATCTCCATCATCACCCTCACCTGCATCATCTCAATGTGACATATCTCTTGTATTGCCTTTTCGTTTTGAGCCTCTGGACCATGATCATCATCTCTGTGAAAGGGTTGTCATCAATGTGAGCGGGCTTCGTTTTGAAACTCAACTGCGAACTCTTCATAATTTTCCAGATACTCTTCTAGGTGATCCTAATCGCCGCATTAGGTAAGTAAAGTGTCTTCAACCAGTAACAATATAAATGACAAAAAAATGAATCTAAACAATTTGGAGCATTCAATCAATTTAGGTAATGGTATAACAGGACACATGTTGCTTTCAATTGACACCAAATTATCCTTTGATTCATCTTGACACCATTTGCGAGTCAAAGGTTACTTCAATTTTGCGCCTTCAGGGTAAACATTTTTCCACTTGAATCTTTTCTGCAGGAAAAGCCGGAATTGAAATCACATTATGACTTGCAACTTGAGTTTGTGATTTATGTAATTTGGCCGAGAGACTAAAATGGACAGATTAGTGTGCATTATGGATGAGATTGTGAGCTCAAAGACAATGAAGTAAATTGAAGAGGAAAGATGATAAAAGTAATAATAGGAGAGGAAAAAGGAGAGAAAATGTAATCTTGAAAGTAAAGCCATCTATTTAGTATGTAATTTGGTTATTTGGATGAATAAATAGGACCAGAAAAACAATAACAGAAAATGTGCGAAAGAGAAGAAAAAAGGAAAAGAATAAACAGCGAAAAGTAAGACCTTGTACAAAATTCAAGTGTCTCACCTTCGAAAGATGTTGGAAGGTGAGGATTGAGGAAGAGGATGATGATGGTGGGGGGAAGCTGAGATGGAAAAGTCAGGAGCAAAGAAAAAGCAACCAGAACCAGGTTCGATAATAGAAAGCTCAAAGATATTTCTGTCTTATCATCTTTTTAAAATAATCTCAACATTAACTTGCCAACTTTTCCTTTTAACATCTAGCTCAGAATGTACATTACAATATACATATTCATAAATTGCATCGCTCTTTATGAATGATTCACGTTCACATATGTATATATAATTTTTCTTCTTCATCTTTCTCTCTGTCTTTTGCATCAACATTATAATGCATACCAAGACAAAACCATGATAATAATGATAATGCTTTTATATTAAAGATTCATTTTTTTTGATGATAATTCATGATTTGCTGAAGTAACAATTTGTCTTATTCTCCTTTTTTATCCTTTTGCATCCTTTCACTTTGAATGGAAATACTGGTTACTCTGAATATTTACCAATTTACCCAGATTTTACGATCCAAATCGTAACGAATATTTCTTTGATCGAAGTCGAACCGTTTTTGATGCCATTTTGTATTTTTATCAAAGTGGAGGTCGCTTAAGGAGACCTGCTAATGTACCATTAGATGTTTTTGTTGAAGAGGTTCGTTTCTTTGAGCTTGGTGATGCTGCTTTCAACAAATTCCGTGAAGATGAAGGTTATGTAAAGGAAGAAGAAAAACCATTGCCAATTAATGAGCTTCAACGTAAAGTTTGGCTTCTTTTTGAGTATCCAGAAAGCTCACAGGCAGCTCGAGTAGTGGCCATAACCTCGGTTGCCGTTATCTTAATTTCCATTGTGATCTTTTGCTTAGAAACTCTGCCCGAGTTTAAGCATTACAAAATATTCAAAACATCTAGCAATATAACCCGTGTAATTGAAGATGAAGTGCCCTCTGTCAATGAACCCTTTTTTATCATTGAAACTCTTTGTATAATATGGTTTTCAGTAGAACTTTCAGTTCGTTTTCTTTCCTGTCCATCCAAAATTGCATTCATAAAGGTATGTTATTTTTCCTCTAAATCGTTGGTGAAAATTTTGCACAAGCAGAAACAATTTAGTGTTTTGTGGCATTATGCTTTAAATGACATTACTGACGAATCCTTTTATCCTTTCTTTCAATTGTACCAATAGGATATAATGAATTCAATTGATCTGATGGCAATCATACCATACTTTATAACACTAGCCACAGTTTTCGGTGATAAGGAGCAAGATCATCATAAATTTGTCAGTGAAAAACAAAGCCAAGCAATGTCACTGGCTATACTTCGAGTGATTCGCTTAGTCCGAGTCTTCCGTATTTTTAAGCTTTCTCGACACTCCAAAGGATTACAAATATTGGGGATGACGCTGAGAGCTTCACTCCGAGAACTTGGACTTTTAATGTTCTTCCTTTTTATTGGAGTAATTCTTTTCTCCTCAGCAGTTTATTATGCTGAAGCCGATTCCGAGCGATCTTACTTTAAATCAATTCCCGATGCTTTCTGGTGGGCTGTAGTTACGATGACTACTGTAGGTTATGGTGACATGAGACCCATTGGAGTTTTGGGTAAAATTGTTGGATCTCTTTGTGCAATTGCCGGTGTATTGACCATTGCTCTCCCAGTTCCAGTTATTGTTTCCAATTTTAACTATTTCTACCATCGAGAAACTGATCAAGAAGACCTCCAGTCGCATAATTTGGATCATGTTGGTAGTTGTCCATTTCTTCCGACCAATCTTGGAGACACTAGACTCCGTCATACCTCTTATAGTGATCTTAAATTGAACTATTATACCGACGAAAACGGTCAAAAGATTACAAGGCCTCCACGGAAACATGCCAAGGGATATAGTGGTTCTGGTAGTTTTAAAAATGTAACTATTTCTATCAGCCAAGATGGTCAATATGAGTCCATTGTGCAAGGCCGAAGAGAATCAGTTAGACCATGTGATAACACAATATTGGATGGATTAAGAAGTGAAGATGCTCGTGTAAAAATTGTTGAAGATACAAATGGTGTCACAAGCTCTAGACATCTAAGCCATTATCACAAATTACCTCGAGAAGATCGCAAACGCAGATCCGTCAAAGTCAAAGTCACAGATTCATATGGTGATTCTAGTGATACTTTGAAACCCTCAGTTAGTGATACTAGAGGTTTAAGAAGAGGTTCCATGCTATCAGGTTATGGGTCAGTAAGTGGTCCAGATGTTAGTGGTTTTGTGAGTAGATCATCATTCAAAGGTAATAGATCAGTTAAGCCAACATTGCCATTGTCTGTATTAAAACCAGTCCCACTTCCACATTCATCTTTAGCCGCACCAGGCTCTCGGTAAGCAACAGTCAATTGTTTCAAGCTATATGTAAATCACACCAGTTTGCTGATCAGCTTCCATCATGAGAGGCTCTTTATTTTCAAACTTTCGAATAGAGGTCTATCAGAAATCAGAATAAGTTCATATCTATATGCCTGATTCAATGAGATTTTCACGACATCTTTACATGCACGAATGATTTAGCATCTCCTTGGATATCAACTGGGCAATCTAATGAGCTTAAGAGCCATCCTTGAGATTAAAGAGTTTCTTATGATGATGAAGCTATAAAAAGTCAAATAAAAATTTTTAAATAATAATTATAATTAATGTGTAAATTTTTTCTTTAAATCAGAACCTTACCAGGATCCTCAACAGCATCTACAACTTTCCATATGACCAGTGCAATTCCTCCAACAACCCGAGCTTCGCTCAGAGTGCGATCAAAAACCAAAGGACATTCAGTGACACGAACGACTTCCCTTGTAGAAAGTTCACATAATCCAAGTGACGCAGGTGGTTTTTTCAATATTTGACAGCACACAAATAAACAAATCACGGGGCAATTACGAGTCAGGCGTTTCTGGCAACCATAATGGAGGCACTAAACAAAACCTAAAATCAAAATAAAAATAAAAATATTATAGTGTGTATGCATAAAAAAAGTGTTTCATAAACACTTACAAATCACTTAATGAAACAAAAAACACAAAGCATCAAAACAAAACGCCATAATTCACCAACATATCATAAATGTAATTGTTCAATTTGTTTAATGTAAAACTAAAGCCAGAAAAATTTCAGGTTAACAAATTGTTTTTATCAATTTTGAACATAAACCTTAATGAATATTCTTCTTGTCAATCTGTACAGTTTTTAAAGTCAATTAAAAAACTAGATACCGAAGCTAGCTGGTTGATTGGATAGTGGCTGGCTTAATGATATTATGGCAATGACTGTGATTTACGTGACGGTCTAGGAAGATAGAGATTTAAGGTCTAACAAGACTCAGAATCATCAAGCAATTAATTATTACGACAAAAATTTGAATTTAATAAAATTAAATTGGAAAAATTGCTTGGCTGAGCTGAAGTTGAGTGACTCAGCTGATAAGCCAGTGCGCTAAGGCTGAGAACAAAAAAGTAACGACTCACTGACAGGTTCAATCTGCTAGCTTCGGGCGTCAAAGCTCGGAGTCTAAAAACAGAGTCAGAACTTAAAAACCCGAAAAGCAAACAGCGGTCTACAGCCGTTGTATGGCGACGTACAGCTATAACATTACTCGCAAGGGTTCTATGGACCAGACTCTTAAGCCTTGCAAGCATCATTTAATTGCGTTTATTTTTCTGCTTTTATAATCGTAATCAAGACGAACTCTTCGGATGGATATAATTGCCGATTATTGTATTAGAATCTCATTATTTCTGTACAAGATTTTAATTTTGGTCTGAAATTTACGCAGCTTCTGATCAACAGATCTTTACGAGTAATCGAGTTGAACCAAAAAGCTCAAGATTTTGTCACTTTTTGTTTAAAAGTTGAGTTATTGATTCTTTCAAACTATTATTTCGATTCCCAAAAATAACAGGTGACTTGAAAGAGTGTTTAAAATGCACAATTTGAAACTCTACTTAAAGATTGGTCAAGTGATCAATCGGTGGTGTCCGAACAAAAAGACACACAATGATTCGAGCAACCTAATATTTAAGTTAAACATTTGTTAGATTGATATTATTCACTCAAGGATAAACGCCGACTCAACCCAGGCAAAGCACCAGAAATATGAGTGCTAAAGAAAATGGATAGATTTTGAATTGAGAAATTTTTATGCTCGTATACGTACACAGATCTAAACCTTTATTCATGACTGCTATTTCTAGATTGTCACGCTTTTGCATAATTTCCTATTTAATTATAAATTCACTCGGTTCTCATGGAAGGGTTCAGCAAACCATTAAATACCACTGATTTGATTATAGTGTTCATGTTCTTGTTCCCTTACACATGAATCAAGTTCGTACAGAACACTTGTTCCTAATATTTACCTTATATCAGTAATAAGATACAGAGTGATGAAGTTTTAAACTGATTGATGAAACTCTTGAGTTCACAGGGCTTATGAATGCTAGTAAAACGAAACGTCAAAGAATTTAATTGATTTTGAACATTAAACAGGAGATCTTGAGAAATAACACTCAGTTTTTTACAGGAGTAAATGATTTTATGTAAACAATAACTGACTCAATGTCTGAAGAGAATTGAGTGTTTGTCGGGAAATAGAACAACTATAATACAGAATTATTTCAATTAAATCAGCTGAATGTTAATTATTCCGATAAAAGGCTTGATGAAAATTGAAAATTGATGTGTTTGAGCAATTTCTCAATACGAGCCTTTTGATTCTTCAGGTTATAAGATGTGAAAAATTTTAAGGTGAAGCAAATCGTGAGGTAAAATTGAAATTAAAATTGAATTTATTTACAACAGGCAACAATACAGAAATTAACTCTTTTAAATCAAGAGTTGATCAGTTCATCAGATGGAGACTCTAGCTTTGATTGTGAGAAAAGTACGGCCTCCTTGTAACCAAAAGAAAAAGTTGATTACGAGATTTTGGTTTTCCCTCCCCTTCAGTAACCAGTTACTTGGTTACCAACTCATGACCATCTCTAATGGTAAGTATTTAACTTAAATTACCTTTAATTTTAATTAATTAATTGGGTATTTGACCAATTTTTTCACCTTTTTCAGGCTAATCAACCACCCCCAACAACAAATACGCCAACAACAGCGATCGAGGAAATTCCTCCAGCGGTAAATACCTTTTATTTACTTTTATTCTACCCTTTACTCTACTGTTTTTCTCTCAATCATTGTAATAGCTATATGTTTTATTGTTTTATGCTACAGTCCGGCAACACCTCCGCGTTCACTCTTCTAACCCGTATTGGCAAAGGTTCTTTCGGAGAAGTGTTCAAAGGTATTGACAATAGGACCCAGCAAGTTGTTGCCATCAAAATAATTGACCTTGAAGAAGCTGAAGATGAAATTGAAGATATTCAGCAGGAAATTATGGTTCTATCTCAATGCGATTCACCTTATGTTACAAAATACTATGGATCATACCTGAAGGTTAGCAATTGTTTTCATGCAGATTATTGTCAGTTAGGGTGTGTTTTTTCATGTAAACTCGTTTGACTCAACTAGATTTTATATCATCTGCACAGGGAACTAAATTATGGATCATCATGGAATATCTTGGTGGGGGTTCAGCTTTAGATTTAATGAAAGCTGGTAACATCGAAGAAAATTTGATTGCTGTTATCCTCCGAGAAGTTCTCAAAGGATTAGATTACTTACATTCAGAAAGGAAATTACACAGAGATATCAAAGGTAACCTCACTAAATAGATTGACCTCATAGTCATGATTTTCTGTTTACAATGATCAACTAGGCAAATATTGCCTGTTCTTGTTTATAGCTAGTGACGTAACTGATGTTATTTCTTTTTTCTTTTTTTGCCAACGCATCCCAGCTGCTAATGTTTTGCTTTCAGAGCAAGGTGATGTAAAATTGGCAGATTTCGGAGTAGCCGGACAATTGACTAATACAACCAACAAAAGGAATACATTTGTAGGAACTCCTTTTTGGATGGCTCCTGAAGTTATAAAACAATCTAATTATGATTCTAAGGTTATTATTTGTTGCATATATAAGGCTTCTTGAAGTGTTAACCATGACACTCTTTAAACATATTTTGCTAATTCATTACTCTCTTTCACTTATCCTCTTCTTCATTGGCCCTGTTTTCTTCATTGAAATGCAACTAATGGCTGTTTTATCTACAGGCTGATATTTGGAGTCTCGGTATTACCGCAATAGAATTGGCAAAAGGAGAACCGCCTAATTCTGACTTACATCCAATGAGAGTTCTCTTTCTTATACCCAAGAACAATCCACCTCAACTTACAGGAAACTATAGTAAACAGTTTAAGGAATTTGTCGAAGCTTGCCTCAACAAGGATCCCGAAAATGTAAGACCTTAATATCTAGCCAACCATGATATCTGAATCTTGAAGCACCTAACTTACATATCTCTTTTGTCTTAAATCTATTTTCTCTTTATATTAAATTGATCTCTACAGAGACCATCAGCCAAGGAACTTCTCAAATTTCCATTCATCCGTAAAGCCAAGAAAAATTCTCATTTAATTGATTTAATAGAACGATATAAAAGGTGGAAGGCTGCTGGTGGCGGTCAAAGTGATAGTGACTCTGAAGCCTCTGACTCGTAAGTTTTTCTTTCTGATTAACATTTGGTGTTTAATTAGAGATTAAAAAAAATTTCTTTGCCTATTATCTATCAACTAATCATGATTCCACTTTTTTTATTTTTAGTAGCGATGACTCTAAGAACAATAGTGAAGGTGATAATCTTAACTGGGACCTAACTATTAAACCCCAGATCAGTCCATTTATTTTGAATAAATCGGGTACAGTGAAGGATTCTGAGCTTTCGTCCTTATCAAATTCCCATAAAGAAACCTCTTCCGTATCGTCTTTCCTATCCTCTTCCACATCTTCCACATCATCCAACAGCGCCAAGTCTCAAATTAATGGTGTCTCCAAGGTATCTACTAAAATAAATGTTACTCCAAAGAAAACCGTTGACGTCAAAACGAAGCCTAAGAATGGTGATGCTAAAAATGGCAATGTAAATTTATTTTTTTTTACTGTGAATTCGTTGAATTTTTACATCAGATTTCCATTTTATTCATTTTATTTCTTTTCAGGCCTCTAAAAATGTTAAAGAAAAGATAAAAGACGAGATACCTGTTGCTAAATCGTCCAAGGATAAATACCGTCCAAGAAGTCCCACAACTCCATTAACTTCAACAGTATCTTCTGTTGATAGTAATGCTTCCAAAAATAGTAATTTTAGTAGTTCATCATCACCTGCACGGGAACACCGAATGAAACCAAACCCACTAGTACAATATTCAGACAAATTTGATTCTGATGTATCTGAAAAGTATAGTTCTACGGACAATCCATCTTGCTCCTATGTTACCCCAACCTTCCCTAATAATCGTAAAACTCCTGGACGCACAGACAAAGACTTAGATCAAGTGACCAGTAAATTAGAGAAGGCAAATTTGTTAAAATCTTCTTACACGACAATGATTCTTAATCCAGTTTTCAACGAGGTTTGTTTCAACTTATAATCAATTGTTTACATTTTATTTTTTGTGATTCTAATTTTTGCTATTTTTTTATTACATTTTTAGCTGAAAGCGAAATACTCCAGAAATAGTTTAGGAACAAAAAGTGCTAAAGCTGAAACAATTGATGAACTCAGACGCGCCTTTGACCTCGCAGAGCAAATATACCCGGGAGTGAGTGATTTTTTTGTCAAAGAAGTTTTATCAAGCCTGAGCAATCGGCCAATTGATGAAAATATTTCATTTTCGAGTAAATCGGCATCATCGTCTTCATCATCTTACAATCAAAGTAATATCAGTAAGATTGTATCATCACCGTCTCATTCTTCTTCGTCATCTTCCTCTGTTGCCTCTTCGCCCTCATCTCATTATCCTCCACGTCCAGTTGTACCGAACCCAGTTTACAACAAAACATCTCTTCGTGGTAATGACAATTACATGTAACATATCTATACAGTAAGATTTAAAAAAAACATAAAAATAATGCATTGCAGATTGGAATTGTCTTTGACTGACAAAAAGTGAAACATAACATGAGACATGTTTTTCATCGTCATCATATCGAAACTGAGAAGCAAAGAGAAGTGAAAAAGGAATTACAATGCATATATCACTCCAGATTCTCTTCTCAATATCATAATGAAAAGCAACTAAAATGCATTATCATCATGGATCAATCATTTTTGGAATCCCTCCGTTTCTATAAAAGTCTATTTATTTATTCCGTGAATAGCAATACAAGATTGCACATTGGATATTTGGAAAGCTTAAATTAGCAAAAACAAAGAGCAATTAAAGTGGTCTATGTCATCCTTGCCTACGAAGAAAATATGAATACTTTTCAAATTACAGAAGTTTAATTATAAAGCATCAACAAATCGGTTCAGTATTCGGAAAAAAAAGATGTAATTAACCAAATTAATAATTCCATGGCAACTTATTTTAAATCTTTTTACATTTCATAGTTACAGCTATAGTGTTTTTTATACAATATCTTAATATTGCTTTTCTAAAGCATGTTGTTTATGTGATTATCTTATTATATTATTATTATAATTACTATTATTTGTCATCAAAAAGATTGTAAAAAATCAAAGGAAGTACAACATTTTTTCTTCTATGTCTTGTTAACAACTAACATGCCTAGATATTTTCTGTCAATATGTGACCATGAAAGAAAGATAATTGTTATTGACTACCGGTGAAAACATTTAGCTTAAAATCAAAGATACTTTGAATAAATACAATTTTAGGTTCAAGATGAATCGAAAACCCTAATAAAAAATAAACATCAGATATGTTACATGCCAAGAAAACAGTTTTTCAGTCAATAATTTATCAGGTAGAGTCAGTGTTCGTGAGCGATTAATCATTACTAAAATTTATCAGTGTCATAATTGAACACCTTGTCTAACACTAGTGCTACGAATGAGAAAAATGTTTTTATATATAGGAAATGTTTATTTTTTCAACTTGGAGTAACAATGTCCAATAAAAATCTACAAAGTTGAGTATTAATTTTCGTTTTATAAAAAACATAAGTAGTATCAGTTTAGAAACAAAAAATATTGAAATTTAGATTGCTTTTACAAATGTGAAATGAATGTGAAAAAATATGTAAATTTTGAAACTTATGCAGGAAAAAAGTGAGTCAACTTTTGTTTTCCATTCATGTTTGAGATTCGCGTTATGGCGCCAGTAAAGCATTGAAATTACATTTTCTCTAATTGTTTAAAATATTTGCTCAATGCGATTATTAAATCAGCTTTACGCTGCGAAGTAGGTATGTTTAATCCTTTTTCTTGGATGTAATCCTTCATTGTTTGTACTTTGACTTTTTCAAGCTGGTTTAATACAAAGAGATACAATTAACGAATTATGACTTTTCATGAAAAATTTCACTATCAGAGTAAAAATGCTTACCTCTCCTTTCTTCCAAGATTCATGGACATCTGGTTCGTTTTTGGGTTTATTTTCCTTTGGCAATCTCATCTGTATTTCTGCTGCTAGCTTTGAAATGGTTGAATCACAAAAGTGAAAACCGGGATCCGTCATATCGGTTACCGTTTTAGCGTCACTAGCATTTGACGCTAAAGCTTGGATATAAGCCCAAAACTTCTGCAGGACAGGATTTTTAATTTCGTCAGGAGAATAGACTCTGGTTAATCTTTCTATGACAGCACTCATAGCATTTTTAAGTTTGGCATCCTCATATCGAAACAATGTAGGCACAGCAACTGGTCGCAGATCATCGGCAAAAGGTAAAACAAAGACGTAAAATCCTTGCAGAAATTCATCATCAACAGGAACAAGAGCCATTAAGCGAGGTGTTGATGATTTACGTATGACTCCTTTCACAATGGCAACTACATCGTTCGCCAAACATCTATTGTGAAGAGCACTATATAACTTGGTACTTCCTTTGACTTCACTTTCATTGGGGTAAATAAAATAGCCCGGACTGACATAATGATAGACTTTGATAGCTGGCTTAGGTTTGAAGCCAATTAACCGAAAACCAATTTCATCGTTTTTCATATTAGCTAAATCTTCTTTCTCCATAGCAATCTGTTCACCGGCAATAGTAGTCGTAGGTTTGACATTTTCTGATTCAACAGGAACATTAGTGTCAACACGTTTCCATATTGTTTCTTTTTTCAGGATCTCGTTATCTCTTTTTCGAATCGTGATGGGTAATGGTTTCTTCATTTCTCTGATCAAAACGTAGATATTGACTGTTATCTTTATATCATTAGATATATACAAAGGTAGAGTATTAATAACACGCTGTTTGTGAGTTTCTTCCTTGTCCGTTGAATCACTGAATTGTACGTAGCGAGGAACACCACAAATTGAATTATCCTCGTCATCTGAATGATCAGAAATCATTTTGAAAAATAAAATTGATAAAAACGGTCCACACAAAAAAATTAAACACTACAGAGTCAGCTTTAAAAGAGTCAGCTCTCAATTTCGTCAATTTTTCAAGCTTTTAAGCTTTTAATCGATATCAGATGATGTAACATCGATTCATCGAATAACTGTAAAGCGGTTAAATAAAGCCCACAGCAAAGAGTAAAACAACTCTCTAAAGTTCGTGTAGGAGGCAAAAACACATTACCCCCTGCATATAAACCAAAATCGGCTTCTTTTAATCCACTCTTAAAATTCATTTTGTCGATGTTTTGTCAATATTGATCACACACACGAACTTTCACCCTGTATATTACTCTTTGGCTCCACCTGTCGGATTAGACATTCGGAGATCATTTATTGTAATTTTCTAATTGTTTAAAACAATTTGTTTTAACCTTTACTCAATATTTAATTTAAAGTTGAATTAGCGAGTCAGTAACAAGTTATTGTAAAACAGATCAGAATTAGTCAGAAACTACTTATTTTAATTATTCAATAGAAAAGAACATTTTCGCGTCTTTATGAGAGTCAAGAGCTGGATAGACAAAAAGACATTTAATTATTAGGAGATTAGGCTGATTAATTCTGTTGGAAAGCCATTCTCCAGTAAAGTTTAGATGCCGATTTAACTTTTTTGACTAAATTTTGAGATATTCTCAAGCTTACCAAGTTACGGAGTACTCTAGTGTATCTAAGTTGCTAATAAATGATCTCCATGTATTATTGCGGACTGCATGATTTTGTCGATAATTTTTTTTCATGAAAGTTGTATAATTAATAAACTATAACCAAATGCCTTCAAACACTTTCATGCAACGGATCAACATTGAGTGATTCTCAGTTAACCCAATCAGATGACATGAACCGTGTCTTGACTTGAAGCTGGTTACAAAGCATCATCACTTTTCCTCTTTAATTGTTGTGACGTTGTCACTGAATCAACACACTATTTAGTCTTCCGAGTTTTTTTACCGTTTAGTGTTGTTTAAGATGACGATAAGAATAATAAAACTAGGGAAGAGTGTATAACCATTTATCCATTATTTTATCAGATTCATTACTTTCTCTCCATTATTTTAAAGTCATCTGATCAGCATTGATAAATGATAACATTTCAGAGGAAAAAATAAGATTTCTAACAATTTTATTGAATATGTTAATATGGCTAAATATTTTCTAATAGCACAAGGACACATTATGTGATCAATGCAAACTGATTTGAATTCGAGCTTAGTAGCACCAAATGATATGACTTTTTGACAGAAATTTTTTGCACAACACGAAAATATTTCAATGCGTTGACCTTTGATGCGCGATAACTTTTGAAAAAATTGCAAGAAGTTTGCGAAACTTTCCAAAGCTGACCTTCAATATTGTCTTTACAATTTGAGGTTAGCGGTCTGTGTCGCAAAAAAAGAGAAGCATCTTTTTATACGGACTTATCTCCCCGCCTAATAGACTCTGGTATTCTGGTTGGCACAGCTTTGTCAGTTATCATTCCAATATGGGTCAATACAATATATGCCTCTGTTTATAAGAACCATCTAAAAGCATCAGCGTCATCAACTTTAAAGGAAGTTGAAGATTTACCTCATTCTGTTATTGGTCTCTCATTGTTGATTGATTTTGCTCTTATGTTTGCCATTGACCGATTTGCCACCTGACATACCAGCTCTGCTAGTTATTCAACCCTGTCAACCACCAGTGATAACAATTTAGAGTCTGGGGGAGTTTGAAGTGATAACTCTCATGTATTTAATAATCTGACCGTCTAGAAAGGCCTCATCGTCCAAGATAACAGCAACTATTGGTCTCGTTGTCCATGCTGCTGCATATGGTGTTGCACTCGGTGGCGCAGTAACCACATCTCACACCGATGTGGAAATGATTGTATTTTTTGCCATCATGCTGCACAAGGCTCCAGCAGCTTTTGGTTTAATTAACTTCTTGATGCATGAAGGTGTAGATCGAAAAAAACTTCGTAATCATCTTTTGGCGTTTTCTTTGGCTGCACCAGTCGGAGCTTTTGTAACCTATTTTGCTAAAAATGAATCCGCACAAAAGACCTTTTCTGATTATAATGCCACGGGTGTTGCAATGCTTTTCAGCGGTGGTACATTCCTCTTTGGAGCAACTGTACATGTTCCACCGGAGATTATCCATCATCAAGCACTAAATTAAGTGAACTCTTAACGCTAGTCGGTGTATCACTTTTACCTTCTCTTTTGACAGTGAAACATCATCATTAAGCAATAATTCAAAGAAAAGGTGAAGTGATAAACTTGATGTCAATAAGATTTCATTCTACACTTGTACACTTAAAACTAATGGACGTGTTTCGTGTTTGATATTTTCATCAAAGACGAAAAATTCATTTTGAATATTTTTAAATTAGTTGAAACTTACTCAAGTATCGAATCGTTACTCCTGCTAGCATTTTTCAGCGGAAAATAAAATCTTTCTATTAATATCTATGATTGGTGTTGCGGCCATTATTTTCAAACCTGAAGTGTTCTCTGTACTTTGAAGCCTTTTAAAAATGTTTTTATAAATTACAATTTCATTAATTATCATTTCAATCACAAAGAAATTCAAAAAAGAGAAAGTTTATTTGTTTTCATTATTGGCTATCGATTGCATATCGATCGGGCTGTTTCGAAATTAGAACGAAACTTGAAGAATGAAAACTCGATAAATTATCCTAAAAGAGTTTACAACAGGTTTATTTGTTGATGAACATCAATATTTGCAAAACTGTATTGTGCGGGTTAGCTTCTAAAATTTATAAGATTGTCCATCAAAACATACTTTACGTCATAAATTTTGCGATAAATTCCGGAAATTCGTCAAAAATGAAGGGATAACCTGGCGAAAAAAATAACGTAAAAACATCTTCGATTCATTTTAAAGCAAAAAAAGCAAGACAAATCAAACACTAGATAATCATCACGTCGGTTTACTAGTGTAACGGCATAATTTCACAGTGCTATAAAATGCTTACATAAAAATTCAGTAACTTTTGCTGACAGGAGTCAACAAGTTTATATGTGCCCATTCAGGTATTTAGCGAATTAGAACGCGTGCATTTCGACGCAGCCATGACGTTTTTCAATCTTCAACCAAAGTTTTGATTTCTATGAGGCACATAACATGAATTGTATATTGTGTAACATTTTATACTTTTATTTGATTAATTTAATAAGAAGAATTGTGGTTGGAATCTTTTGGTAAGAACATCCTAAACCACGTGAAGGTAGATTCCATGTTATGACTTATGATATTTACAATGAGACGATACATTTTTTGGATTTTTAAACTTTTTTATTTTTTTTGTTTTATATTTTTAAAGTTAAGTAATTATTTAACCATTGTATTTTAACTAAAGGATAGATTCAAATACAATTTTGAGCTATTATTTTACAAAGGTAGTTATATGTTATTCTGTTATCCAGAAAATTATCTCACTTTCCTCATTGAGTTCATATTTAATGATGTCTCTAATGTTTGACTTAATTAAACTGAAATTCGTTTTGATGAATCCTAATGAGCAGGTGGATCTTCCGATTCGAGGGAATTCACAGTAAAAATAATACAATGAAATGAGAAAAGATATATGCTGTCTTGAATAAAAAATATTATTTGCATTTAATATATTGATAAGTTTTTTATAGTTATTACAAATTGAAAGTAACTGTTCGAATGCTTTGCCAAAAAGTATGTACATTTTTAAAAACTTTCTTTTACTGGTCTAATTTCATTCGAAATTTTTTGTAGTTGTGATATCCCTGTTTCTATGTCTTGTATCTCGATACCATCATAAATTACTTCAGAATCGTTCTGATAGTTTAAAGAATCCCTAAATACCTTCCACTTGGCATTTTTGTCATTTGTGAAATGATTATCAGCATTAACTGCACCCATAATTTGTGTTATATTATAATTTTGAAATGAAGAATCAAACTATATTAGTTTCTTTATTTGTATGGTTATTGTCATGATGACATTACAGCGCAGCTCCTTTCGGCATCTGTGAAAATTGCTTGCCTTCAGTAATCACTATCTATAATTAAACATATAGATTAAAAAATGCATTAAATATTTCACTTTTCTTCTTATTTGTATTTATATAAATGATCTACTTTAATTCAAAAGATAAGATATGAATTTAGCTCTAGTCTGTTCAAATCTATGTTTTTCATTAAATTTTATGATCGCCAATATTTGCTGAGAGTATTTACCATTGATATCGATTGTTAGTATAAAAGAAGATTAGTGAACATAATAATAAACCTATTTCGTCAACAAAATTCAATTTACAGGAAAACTAAACAAGAACGTTGCTCTCTGATAATGATTATCTAGTACAGTAGAGTTAAAAAAAACTGGCAGTCAATCAATTGATCATAACTCAGTCAGCTATGAATCAAATAACTTGAAACTCAATCAATCAGTTTTTTGATGTTTACTGAACAATGATTCATTAGAATTGATATTTTGTATGAACTCCATCAGCGTCAAAACACTCATGAATTCTGTTTGGCATTGAATTTATGAGGAAAGTTATAAAATCTAATGATATTTCTATGTAATTTTCTTTGAAATGATGATTGAAATTAAAATTGAATAAATGGCCAATTATAAAAATTGTGCATCTTAATTTATATGTCTATTGATGCCTTATGATCTTGTCTGTAAAATGCAAAAAAAATTTCGGTTCTTATTCATCACCTGATCCGAAATCTCAATTTGAACGTAAGACTGTCAGTTTTTTTGACCGCTACTGTAAAACGCAAATGTAAAAAAATATCTAGCCTATTTGTTAATTTCTTTCACTTTTCGTTATCAATCAAGGCAAATAGTAGTAAGCATGATCATATACAAATGGTTGTATTAACTTATGTCAGCCATGAAAGCTGATGCCTCAATTTAAGCTAGTTTAGACTTAAAAATAGATGTTAATGCAACTAAATCAAATTTAATTCAACTCGAACTATTTAAACATAGTCTAGCCTAAAATAGTCTTAACAATTCAATTCATAATTAGTTAAATTTAGGCCAATTATCCTCATCAGCGGTCATATCGACTTAGCTTGAGACTTGAGAATAGAAGAAGTTAGCTCACGGGGGTTTGTATACCCTTACCAGTAACTGACAACATTTTTAATCTTCCTTCTAGATTAATAAAGGTAAGAATTTTTAACTATTTTGTTACTCGATGGTCAATAATAATTTATATTGATACTTTTATATTAATATCTTGAATTCCACAGAACATACAATTTTGTGCCCATTTCTTCTTTCACTAGATCTCAAGGATATTCACTTGTATATATGATTAATCATTTGAAGATGGTTTTGATTATGCCAAAAAAGTCTGGTTGTTGTGCTTAAATGTGATATTCTCAAATAGTGATTCGTATTGCTTCGTATCAAAATAAAGCAAGAAAATGGAGCATCTGACCATGCTAGCCCTGCTTGCCTTTTCCATGCTTTTTGGAAGCTATTTTACTGTGTTCTCTGTACTTTGAAACCCTTTGAAAATACATGTATTTTATAAATTACAAAAATTATATTATCAATAAATCAAAAAACTACCACATTTTAAACAATATCATTTAAATCAAAAAGCATTTCAAAAAAGAGAAAGTTTATTTGTTTTCATTATTGGCTATCGAATGCATATCGATCGGGCTGTTTCGAAATTAGAACGAAACTTGAAGAATGAAAACTCGATAAATTATCCTAAAAGAGTTTACAACAGGTTTATTTGTTGATGAACATCAATATTTGCAAAACTGTATTGTGCGGGTTAGCTTCTAAAATTTATAAGATTGTCCATCAAAACATACTTTACGTCATAAATTTTGCGATAAATTCCGGAAATTCGTCAAAAATGAAGGGATAACCTAGCGAAAAATAACGTAAAAACATCTTCGATTCATTTTAAAGCACAAGAGAAGCCGGAAATCCATCAAACATCAACGTTTAAGAGAAAAATCGATCATGGTTTTGATTTTTTCAGTAAAATCGTTCAATTTTTTCGTGTAATCAATATAATTTTGATTAATAAGTCGTATCTGTTCAACTGTTGCCCAACAAGTTTCCGTGTCAAGAATCTCTTTAGGACTATGAGGGCGTTCGATAAGACTAGGTTGTTGTACAGGACATTTATCTAATTCATCAATAAATTCCTTGAATTCACTTCTCCAAAGGATATCTTTTTTCAAATTAACACTGAAATAGACACGAAGTTTGTTGCAATGGTCTTTGAATTTTTCTAATTTATCTTGCACTCGAACAAAAAGTAGTCCCAGATGATGAAGGAAATGGTGAAGCACATCTTGTTTGTTATTAGAGTATGATGCCAGGGCCAAACTGTCAAGTAAGCGATCACGATCAAGATTGGAAACTTCCTTAAAATACTCATTCGATCTAGTTACAAGATGAGCAACATTTTCATATGGATCATTAAAAATGGAATCGCGATCAATAAAATGTTGTACTTCTTGGAGTGCACTTTTAAGCCGTAATTCTGCGGTGATCAGTTTGGTTTCTTTTTCGGTCTCTTTCATTCTAACCAATTGGCTGTATCTCTCTTCCAAAAAAGTCATTTGATGTTTCAACTTTTTAATATTATTTTCCAAATGTTGAACCTCATCTTTGACGTCCTCATACTCGGCGGGTTTGAAGACTCCAGATGCCGTTGATGATGCATATCTATAAAAAAATAAAACACAAATAAGTGACACTTTCAAAGATGATACAATATAACTTACAGATCTAGTTCTTCTTGCGAAACAGGACAAGCTTCCGAAACAACAGTGTTAATCAAATTGTTGAACCACTGATGACGACCAAGATCATCTTTAAGAGCCGCCTCGAGAGCTGTTAACTCAACTTGCTGGAAAATCTGTTTGTTGGATAGCTCCTCAGCCTTCAGCAGAGAGATCAATTTAAGAATCAAATCGGTTCTTGTTCTCCGTGGACCCGACGACATGTTGAAAACTTATTTTTGAACACAGAATGCTGAATATAACTAGAAATTTGTAACACAAGAAAAAGGTCAAGATATTAATAGGTTAAAGGTAATGGTTATTAAACAGAAAATTGTCATAAAATTATTGTAAAATAAATTTAAAAGAGGAAAACAAACTTACTTTTTGGCGGTTTCTTTCAATACAACCAAACAAAAGCCTACATCTGCGTCTAGAGCCATCTATCAAAGATTTTTTTCATAACTTTTTAGACTAGTAAATTAAATTGTTAAGCATTTTTGATAAACGTATTGATGGATTAAATCCTATAAAAAACTATTCATTTGTATTAAAATTTACATAGAATTGAAAAATTCTATGTAAATTCTATGTCCATTAAATGATAATTATTGACCAATGAAAAAATTAACATAGCAATAAACTTTTCGCCAAATCTTATTTATTAATCAATCAAAAAGTTTGTGTGTGTCATTTGTTTAATTCAACAATTTTATTAAGATTGTATTTCAATTTTTGAAGGAGCAATTAATTTGCTATGAGATTCAGTTCGAGTCACTGTCATCATTATTCTTATCTTGACTTCTCCGCAAAGGCTCCAAAACCTTAGATATTGTCCTACTTATCGGATTATCATTCCAAGAGCTGACTTCTGCTGATCGCCACTTATTTGGCCAGCGTCCTGGACGACCTTTGTTTGGTTCATTATCTACATAGCTATGCCATGGAAATTTACGATCGTTATTAGGGTCGTCAAGATCGGTATTGGATTCTAGCCATCTTCGATAGTGCCAAACATCAGCATAGACCCCATATGAGCTGTAATATAAGGTGGTAACATGAAACCATGACTTAGCAACTGGGAATAATATTCACTGAATATACTTCATCAGAAAAAAATAAGATAAACTCACGTTCCACAAATTGGACCCCAAGATACAACACCTATTAAAACATCATCTCGAGGGGTTGGACCTCTTATTACCAATGGTCCACCCGAATCACCAGGACAAGCATCAACTCCTTTGATTCCAGCACAAATCATTCCGCTATTCCATTGTCTACGAAAAACTGTGCCACACTCTGTTTTACTTCTCAATGGAAAGTCAGCGGTCATCAGTTTATCAGTGGATTTTTTCCCCACCGCACCCCATCCAGCAACAGTTACTTTCTGTCCTGATTTTGGTGGATAGGACGGTAACTTAACAGTGGTAATTTTGTCTCCTAAAGGAAGTGGTTCAGCTAGTTTCACAAGTGCAATATCATCTGCGTAATCACCGCGACGAGATGGGACAATTATTTTTCGCACTTCATAAAATTTTTGTCTTTGATCTCTGAGATTGTTGTAATTTGCTTGAACGCGATATAAATGAGGGGTTTCTCTGGAAATAAAAAACTCAAATAGATTAATATATGAGGAGTGTAAAAACTGTTATAGAAATTAATTTATATTGCTATTAAATTCATATTTCTTGCAAGATATGGTTAACTTACTTTTTCACACAATGAGCGGCAGTTAAAATCCAAGTTGGTGATAAAATTGACGCTCCGCAATGATGTGCATAATTATAACGCAAAGAGACTATGTAAGGGAAGGTATCTTCATCAGCAGGAATACCTCCAATCACTCTGTTAATCATTTGAGGAATTTCATCATTTCCTGCGGGAACATAGTCTTCAAGAATTCCTCCTGGTCCAGATAAACCTGATGAATCGATATAATCATCTTGATCACTTTTTTCAGTAGCATTACCATTATCCTCGTAATACTCAAAGGAGCCACCGACAAGTAAACCATTTGAATTGGTGTCGGAATCGAAAATTGGAATCGAAGTAGACTCGGTGTCATCCTGGAAATTGAAACCATGAACATTATCAAGTACAACCAACAGACTGATAAGCAAGACAGATGACCAATTTGATAGCCATTTAACTTTAAAATAAAGTCTATTTAATCGTTTAAACTTTAACCCAATCATGTTTTGATTAAAAGATTCGCAGTTTGTTCACAATTAGAGTATAAAACCATATTTAAATGAGTTAGCTTCAACTCATTAGCTTTTTCTAATACTAATATCAAGTTACAAACTTGCCATTTAACTTCGAAAGCTTGGGAGTCAATCAAAACATCTTGGATTTTTAAAATTTCAGTTTAAACCACAATAACTGAGATTTTGTTTCCAGGAGACTTTCAGGGTCTTTGGTTTACGAAAGCTTGCCGATAATTTTGAAATGTAATAATAGCAATAACCATACTGAATTATATTAGGAAAATAATATTTAATTTTTCGCTTCAATTTGAAAAAGAGTTATTTAGCAACATATCTATTTGTCCGGAAAGATTCATCATGAGCTTTAAACATTTTTCTTCAGCTTCGACTTCATCTTTCATACGCTTGAATAGTTCTGCTTGAATTTTAGAAGATTGGATAGATGAACGATAAATATCACAGAAAATTATCGCCACGTCAACTAAAACTCGATTGAACCGAGGATCACGAATATTTTTAATTAGAAAATTAGCAATGCAACGGAATCCTTGATCATCACGACCAGCTAATGAAGCACGTAAAGTTCCTCTTCTACTTAATTCCTGCATCATACTGACAACAATTTCAGGTTTTTTAGCAGCTCGTTGCAAAGTTAAATCCAAAGCTTTAGCGTGATGATATTTTTTCAGTTTTTTGTCGTACGATTGTAGATTCAGTTTTTTTCTTTCCATATCTTTAACAACTAGTGTATCATCGTCCATTGATGCAAATTGCTCGTTGAAATCTTCATCATCGGGTTGTAATTGAAAATATCTTTGATGCTGTTGTTTACGTATAATGTGAGCATTGAGAAGCTCTTTGACTTTTTCTTCGTTATCCTTCGACTTGAAGCGTCTTGAAATTACAGTTCCATCAGCTGCTCCGACAGAGAAGGCCTTGGAGTTTACAGCCATACTTAATAATTGAGTTGGTACAAAATTTAACGAAGTGACTAATGAAAAATAGGTGTCGAAAATCTTGACAATTCCATCTAGCGAACCAGTAAACCAAAAATCGTCATAGTTCCATAATGTAGTGATAGTTTTACTATGCAAATTGGGTAAAGTTTGCATCACTTTACCAGCTACTAAATCGATGATCTTAACGGTTTTAGAGGCTGCAGCTATTAAGAATGTTCCACGGGTAATCAAAGATTCAACAGGATTGTTAAGATTAAATTGATGTGTTGGTTTGAGTGATTTTTCCCTAATATCCCATAATTTAACTGTATGGTCGTAAGAACCAGAAGCTACCAGAAGAGATCCTTGATCAAAAACACAACCAGCACGAATGTAGTCTTCGTGTGCTGTTTTTGTATTGCTTTCATCTGTTTAAAAGAGTCAGAAAAAATATGTTTATGAATGAGAATTATGAAAATCAATTTTAGATAGGAAATTACATTACCTGAACCAATTTCTTGGACCATAGCTCCATCAGCAATATCCCATATCTTTATATGTTTGTCGTCAGAGAAACTTATCACTTGATTGTAACTAATGAATTCAGACTTACGGACAGAATTAGTGTGTGCCTGAGGTGAATTAAAACTCATTACTCTCAAGGGTTTACTATTATCGACATCAAATATATTGATTCTTCCTTCATCTGTCGATGATGTAAACAGCTTACAATCAGTTTTACGGTAAGATGCCCAACGAACAAAATCCACCTTTCTAGAAGACACACTTTGATAGGTTCTTTTCAACTCCAGATTATTGACATTATAGATGGAAATTCTGTCTCTGGATGTGACCAGTAAATCATTATTAAATGCATTTAAATCCAATTTATCAATGATTCCTGCCTCTTTGACAATTTTGGGTTGCTCTAACACGTGTTGCCAATAAAATGCATCCGAGGTAAGAGGCTCTTTAATCTTAGGTATAGTAACATCACTAGTTTCCTTAAAATCCGTCATTTCCAGATGGGAATTCAATCAATCATATAATTAATTAGAGAATTCAATTGATAAACAACAAAATATTTAACAAGAACTTCAAAATTTTAAAAAACAATAACTTTCAACACATGTTAAACATGAAATGGTTGTAGATGGCGCTGATCAGTTCAATGAACACAGAATAGTCAGAAATAAAAGCGCTTCTTATGAAAGAATTTTTGGGAAGCTCAGAATTCTGGATTATTAAACTATGATATTTTATTTGTTAATAATCAATTCGCATGAATCATTATTATCTTGTCAGTATTTGGTTTTTTTATTTCTTACCGATTTGAGCCTTTGAAATAAGTGACTGGGAGAAAGTATTAAAGGTATCAACTTTTTATTTCTCATTTACCATACAAACTAATTGAACAATTAAACAATCTTTCCGCCTTCTTAATGAGTGTTGATGGAGAATGAGATTGGCAGTATTAAATTGTAGAGAAAGATGAAGGTTAAAAAACAATAGAAATCGCTTCAAATTAGAGTCAGTGGCGAGTCATTGGACCAGGACTAACCAAAGAACTGAAGTTTCGTAGACCTTTTGTACTTTTACCATCCGAATTACCTGATTTATTATCATCTTGGCTACTAGAGTTACCAGATTGGTTATTTTGACATTTTAATTCGGTTACACATTTCCAGTTATCCAAGTAGTTAGCTAAAATTGAAAAATGAACAAATTTTAAATAAATAATTCAACCATTTGCAAGAAAAATGAAGCTTACCCTTCCATAAACGAACAGAGCCATCATCTCCTGAAGAAGCTAAAATAGTTCCAGTAATATTCCAGGAAACTCTCCAGACTTGGGCTCCATGCTCGTTAAATTGGGCAACTTGTTTGATTTCAAACTTTTGGTTTGGAGCATGTTGACTTGTGTTGCCTTGATGGGATTGATGCGGTAAACTTAAAGATTGCCCATCACAAGGCTTGATAGATAGGATTTTTACATCACGAGAAGCTATTCCAAGTAAATGGTAGGAACGTCCAACATTTGGAGCAAATGCTATATCATGCACCGGGTCACTAACAAGACTAATTACTTCTATTTTTATCCATTGTCGAGTATTTTCACTGAACTCAAAAAGAATAACTTTACCATCACTTGCGGATGCATCATCAACACCAACAGCAATCATTGGAGGATGTATGCGAGATGGATTCCAGGTGATTGAGCTTAATGAAACTTTACAATTTATTTCATGTTGAACAGACCATTGACTTAATGTCATGACATCAGGAGCTTCGTAAATTCGTAAACTGCCGTCGACTGAACATGTGGCAAGTAATAGGCCTAAATGTCTAGGCGCAAACTTAACATCGGTAACAGAGGTACGACTGTCACTAAGAAAAGCTCGACGAACCCAAGTAGATTGGTTAGATTCCCCACTCAAGCTATCAGCCGCTAAAAAAAATAAAATTCAAATATGAAAACTGCTATTCGATCGAGAACGAGATAAAGAAAAGATGAAAATTAAATATTTACGCAATTCTTCCCAGATAGCTGCAGTTCGATCAAATGAACAAGTTGCTAAAACTTGACCAAATTCTGGATGTGCCCAAGTAACTTTCCAGACTGATGCTGAATGACATTTCCAACTAGCAGTGCAATGCCATTGACCATCCTCACCAAGATCCCAAACCTTTGAAGTTTCATAAAACAAAAGCAAAACAATGGAAATTTATCATAAGAACATTTTTCTATAATAAAAAAATTTTAAGATTGGAGAAATATAAATCAATCTCGAAAAAACAAGTTTACCTTTACACTCTGATCACTTGAACAAGTAGCCAACCGTCTTCCATAAAAGTCATAAGCAACATCATGGATTAAATCCTTATGGTCAGCTTCTACATTCCTAGTTGCGAACATTATATATGATGATTACTTAAATTAAAGTTGAATATTTGCTGGAATATTGTCAGTCAGGTGAAAAATTTCAATAATGATACTCAAAGAATCAGACAATTTTGTTTATACTCTTAACAAAAATTAACAAAAAAAATTCAGATAAATTTAAAAACAAACGACACCAGATGACGCTAAACACTAGTGATCTAGATTACCGCATAATTTGAATACAATGAATAAAACAAATTTTATTTTTTAGATGATGAATATTTTAAACAGAACTGATCTTTATTATTCATTTCAGGGAATGAATTATCAATTATCAATGAAATTTATTTAAAAATTGTAATCTTTTAATTCAAAAAATTGAACAGTATCTGAAGATATTATTGGATCTGATTCAAGATCTGATCCTACAATTTAACCGCTAAAATTTCTTCTTCCATACTGATGTTTGTTTGTGTTTCGGTTTACCCTTTTTTTAATTTTATTTAATTAGTTTTTATCTATTTTCGTGTCTTAATCAGTGTCATCTATCACATTAACGTTCTTTCCGCTGATCAATCAACATGGGATCCTCAAATTCATTTAAACGAGGAAAAGATCTTGCAAATCTTATGGAAGACTTGAAACTTCAGCGACAATGTTCTTTAAACAAAATGTCAGTAATCAAGGAGAGATTGATATGTAAAATTTCAGCGCATTTTTCATTCTTCATCATGAAAATACCGAAACACTTAAAGGATGCAACGATGGGATCTTTATACGATAGTGGATTTTTCAACGCCGGAGACGCATCATTTCTTGAATCAGTTTCTGCTTTAGAAGGTTCACAGGTGTTAAGTAACTTACAGTCAACAATTCGGGAATGCAATTTTCTGAAGCCTACACCAAGATTCGATGATATTTCAGCCATATCCGTTTCATTGAAGGACGAAGATAAACGCAAGAAACACCCAACTCGGGTTAAACTTAATTTTTCATCAGTCAAGAAATCGCCTTACAAAACATTGACCAAATCTCGTGTATTAACCGCCAGTAGTAAAAAACGAAAAGCATCACTCCAGTCTCCTGTTAAACCTTCCTATGATATTCAATTTGAAGATAACCCGGAAAAAGCCGTTGAAAAGTTGAAAGTCATTCTAGATGAATTGACTGAAAGAAGGAAACAGTCTATGAGAAAGCTGGCCCTAATGAAAGAGAAGCTTTTAAACGATGTTTTGAATCACTTCAATAATATTAGAAAAACAACCGCAAATTTGGAAAAGGAGTTTACTTATTATAGGGATAAAGATGATTTGGAGCGATTCTGGAATACCCATTGTAAACTATAATTTACCATCTACTCTATTCATGTGTATATGTATGTATATATTCAGTCATCTTTTTACTTTCAAGTTTTACCTTCATCTTGTTGATCAAAAACTTTTTTAAAATGGATATGGTTTAAAATAAGGAAAAAACAAGAGAAGGAAAAAATAGAGAGGTAAAGAGAAGAGGAGAGAAAGCAGAAAGAGCAGGTAAAAAGAGGATGATAGTGATGATGGTGATAATGAAGAGGAGGAGGAGCGGCATCAGTCTTGACAGAAAGAGCTAGTTAATGATCTGATTTAACGGATACCTGGAGTTACCTGGCTCAGTTAAACTTTTGATGTCGATCTGAACAGACAGTTTACAAGTCATCATCCTTTTTCACTCACACCTAAAGAAACCGTCAAATGAAACTTCTTACCATCAACATTTTCTTATAGTGTGTGTGTATCTCACACGCTCACATTTAAAAGTAATTTTGATCAAATTCTATCTATTTTTTGTTTTATCGATGTTGGAATAAAGTTTCGCTTTTTATTATTTCATTCACTTTTTTTCCATCAAATTGGCAAGTTTGTGCATTTTTTGCTTCCCTTTTACTTGTGTTATCAACAAAACGGAGTATTCTGTCACTAGTTAGACTCACATAAATAATTAATTAACCGTGCTCAATCAACTGTGATACATCTAATTTATAACAAACAAAAAGATTGGTAAGTTAATCAAATTTCAATGCTTCGACTTATTTCACCCAATATCGCTTAAATTTCTTAATTATTGTATCACTAATATCAATCAAGACTTGACTATGATTTTGAATTTAACTCGTTGAAAGGTCAGTAGACATTATTAATCAAGTGAAATCAATTTTCTCTCTAAATCTATTTTATCCATTTTCATCTTCAATTTTTGATTTTATCCTCTAATTATGATCCTTTGTTGTCGATAAATCAATCTCAATCAGTTTGAGGTCAGCTCATTAAATTTGACAAAGTAAACCAATTCATCAATCATCATCTTTGTCATCATCAGTGAAGATCAACAATAATTGAACAGTTTATATCGACTTCCATGTATCTCTCATTGAACCAATTCAAATTTTATGATAAAACGCGACTTGTCAAGCTTTGCGAAAATCAAAATCAATTGTTAATCATATTAATGGAACTCGTTATCATTTGTAAAGCAATTTGAATTAGAGGTCATCACCACAATAAACGAAACAAATCATTAAATCTACTAAATCTAAACACTGTTAAATCTTAATTATCATCTGATGTTAGTCAGTAAATAAGTCAAATTTTGTTGGTTTGTTTTTACTGGTTATTTCAGCCTAATGATTGAACCCAAGCAAAATTTATCGATTTTGTTTTTAAAATTGTAATGAAAGTAGCAGCAAAAATCATTTGTTGTTCAGTAATTCAGATCATTTGGGAAAATACTCAAGCTGATTATCAATAATCGGGTGAAATTGCATCTCCGTTTGATCTTTGAAAGTGAATACAATTGTCGGTAATAATTAGCCTTTCATTAACGCACAACATGAATGTATGAGTTTACTATTAATTAACATTGTTTGGGTAATTATTGCAAACCAATCATCCGAAAATGAATGTTGATCTGTTTACATGGTTATGAGAAGATTGAGGGTGAATCAAGTAAAAATTGAATGAAAAATGCAATTATAAACAATATAACTGTAATTTGAACAAAAAGCTCACAAGATTGAATCAATGAGAAGAATAAAAGAGTTAAATGATTAGGAGAAAAGCTAAAAGTCCAATTAAGGTTGAATTATCTTGATTGTCTTAAACATGTTATCCGGATGTAGGTTAAAGACAATATTGAAGTTAAATTAATTAAAAGCTGCCCAAGATGAATCAAGAGAAGATCAACTTTCTCTTGCAGATAAATTTCAACCTTTCAGCTTTGATTCAGGTTGCTTCTTGTATCAACATCTTTCATTGCTCCAAGTAAACCCAGACTCTGAACACTCGCAACTGGGCCAATGCAAGGATTACATGATAATAAACTGAACAAGAAAAGATGAGATGAGGATTGAAATAGCGTAAACAGGGCAATCCTTTAAATCAATTGTTATTGCATGAAATCTTCAAACAGAGTTTCCGTTAATTTAAAACACCGTTAATAATAAAAGTTGAGGTCAACTATGAAAGTGTCTGAGGGCGATGGATACAAATAGAGGTCAATATAAAAATGGAACCACCAACACTTTGAGAAACATTGTGCTATTGTGATCCTGTAATGAAGCAAGAATAAAGATTGTAATGAAATTGGATATTTATAAAGCAAAATGATTAATAAAAGGTTAATGATGAATTAATTATCCACTTGATTCGTCTCTTAATCAATTTGATTTGAAGCCTAAAAATTTGTCGAAACTGATGGCTTTAAAGATGAGACAAGAACATTTGAAAAGCATCTTTTTTCAGCTGATTTCAGCTGATTTTATCCTCAATTATACTGGTTGAGTAGACAAGTAAACTTGATTAGATTATGCGGAGTTAACAATACTTTGATGGTTAAATCATAAATGTTTCATGAAACTTGAAATGAATCTAAAGATGAATGGTTAAAGGTAGACTTGACCTTGTCATTGTTGATTGTGCATTTGCATTTTATGGATAATTAGGGCTTTCCTTTCCATTGACCACTCATTTCAACTCACCATTAAAGTTAATTATTACAAACAGCAAGGAAGACACTGAACAAGACAAGAGTGTAAAGGCCTTAAAATTGGCTCGTTGAACCCGCTAAGGATGCCGTTTCTTTGATTCTAGTTTCCTCCTGTTCCGTTGATGGATTCAATAACCTTAACCAGTTTGAAGTTTGTCAAAAAACGGGCTTTCTCCTCCAATAAGATTCCAGTTCCGATCTTTCATCATTTTCCTTCAATTTATTGACCTTTTCTTTCCTATGAATAGTTCAGTCGATGAACTTGATGCAATTGATCAAGAGAAACAAGTGAAACCTAAAATTAGTAAAAGTAAATTGAAAAAAGGCAATGAAAACAAAGGTAAACCACCAAAAGCTTTTCCTTTATTTTCCTTTACCTTTTTATGCATATTAAACATATTTTACCATCTTTTCCCTGTTCATTATTTCATGCCTGATTATCTATCATTTAACCATTTAAATCTGATTAGACAGAAAATTAAACCAGATTTGGAAAGTTTCAAAGTATCATGAGAAGAGATTAAAGGTAACCTGAAAAGTGTCTCTTGAGTGAAAGTATTACAACTGGATTTGTAAAGTTACCCTCAATTGCCAATGTAATTAATCAACTTTCTTTTGCTTAACTTTTACCTCAAAATTTTACCCGAAAATTAATTCTAATTGAATGGTTAATCCAGTATACAAGTTACATGTAATACACGATAATACATGATGTTACCATCTAAAGACAAAGGTTCCGGTGAGATGAGCAAAATTAATTCATTGACCGCAATTTTGAGTGCGATAAGCATGATTTGGTTTTGATGATGAACATTATCTTTATCATCATCATGTTTATAGTCAACAGGTAGAGAAACAATAAAACAATGAGAGAAGAAGAAAAAAGTTGCACCGATATGCAGTTACAAACATTCTGGTAAAGGAATTCAGTTTTACTCAGCTTCTTGTCTCTTCTTTACCGATCATCATCTTCCTTTTTCTTTGTACTGATTTTCACTTCCCTTTTCCCTGGTTTCTATACTTGATTGAGCTTTACTCTATTTAAGAGAAGAAGAAGAATAAGAATAAGAAAACAATTTAACTTCTAAAAACCAGAATTCTTTCCATTCCTTTGAATTTATCAAATCCATCGAACCAGTTTAAATTTTCCAACTTTATTCTCTTCCAATCACTGATTAAATGAAATTATTGCTGGTGATAACATGAAAAGAATGAATAAGAAAAGTGCTCAATGTTCACCGATAGTCTGGTGAAAATATTGAATACAATTATAACTGAACAAAATGATTTCCGATTATTGGGTCGATAATTTTTGTTTCAAATTCAATAATGTGTGACCTACTCTTTGACACCGTCATTTTGGGTAAAACTGTTTGTGCTTTGTCTATTAACTTGATCCAGGTAAAGTGCCTTTTAAGCTTCAAAATGTGACCAGCTCACAAATCGGATGATCTTGATGATGAACATGAAAAAATAAGATGAAGATAAAAAAGGTATGAATCGTGTAAAGTTGCCATCAGGATGTTCAACAGATTAATTTCATTCTTGTGTTTACCAAACATATATTTTTAGTTGTAAAAATGAACAAACAACAGCAAGTTCAAGATGAAAAGGCAAACCCAAAGAGCAACTATCGTGATGATGGAAAGCTGAAAATATGTAATAAAGATTGAAGTGAAAATGAAATTTTGAATGTTTACCTTTTTACATTTTACAGGATAATTGTCGTTAAATTGAGTTGATTGTATATTAAATTATGTTTCAAGTTTGCTAAATTAAAAACAAAACAGTTATGATTTGATCAATTAAGATTCGTCTTTTCTCATCTTGATATTAGTGCATAGAAAATGACAAAAAAGTAAATGATTACTGCATGCATTTAAGTGTTTTACTTTAGAAGAAGAAGCGAAAAAGGACGAATTAAGTGACCTTTATACCAATGTCCTTGATCTAAATTGACATTGAATGAAAATTCCAAGTTTAACAGGAAAAATTTGGTGACAATCCTTCTGGTTCTTCTTCATTCTTGACCATCATTAACATTACCACTTTTGTTTCCCCTTTACTTTTACCGTTTACTCAGCTACTGTTGAGAGTTAATTGCATTTATATCACAATTTTGTAGTTCACTCTCTAAATCAACTGCCCAAAGGTAAATTAAAGTTGTACCTAATTGTACTGTTTAACTGGTTAAATGAAAAGTTACCATAATAACTTGCAGCTTTCATTAACTTTAATAGTCTATCCTCATTTTACGCCCAATGGCATAAACCATTTCTTAAGTTAACCTAAAATAAGTGAAACATTTGAAAATAATTTCAACAATTTAATGCATAATTATGTCCATTCCAAGCTAAATACCGAGTTATTAAACGTTTAAAAATAAACAATTGTTTTGTTGGACAGCTTTCAATTTTGTCTCGTACTCGACTTTTCATGAGGGAAAAAGTCTTTGAGTAAATCAAATGATTGGGTTTATTTGGTGCTAGATATTTCAATATTGACCTATTGAATGATACCGTTAGTTATGCTTTTATAATTGATCAAGTTAAAGTGAAATGCATACAAGTGATTAATGATTAACGATAATTAAGGACGATGAAACTAGTTACACATTCATACAGAAACTATCAGTTGAAGCAAACTCTGAATAATAATTGATGAAGCCATTGATCAGCTTCACTTTCAGGTCAATCCAAAAATAAGTGCAACTTTCCCTTAAAAACAAGACGAAAAGATGATTTAGCCCAGCAACTTGCATTAAATATTAATCATGAGAATGAAATTTATCTTCTTGTATCTATTTCAATTCCTGGTTAGTTAGAAGCTAAAAAATTGATAAAAAAACACAAATAAACTCAATTATCCACAAATAATTGACCCAACAATTATAATAAATTGTTACAATAAATTCTCATTTTGTCATCTTTTTCAATCAACATTAAAGCACAAATATCCAGACTGAACTTAATAATTGTCTAACTACTTTCAATCAACAAGGTTAAGTTCAAATCATAGTCACCTATTTATGTCCAAACACACCAAATAAAGGATTTCCATTAAAACCAATTGCAATCGGACAAAATGAAAAAAAATGTAACCCAAAACCAGTAAAAAATCCAAAAAATAAAAACCTAACAAAACCATTGAGAGTTCATATGAACCATTGTAACTCTTGAAACAGTTTACATTTTAACCCATTTCAAGGTTCACTTTTACCTTGTTTCTGGTTTAACTTAAGGTTAATGATTGATAAATGGTAGGAATTTAAATGTTTAAATCTGAGCAGAACATTGAAAAACTGAAGAAGAAAAAAATAGCGAAAGTTTCAATATCAATTATTAAAACGGATCATTTAATTTTTGCTTTATTTTTCTTTTCTCTCAGTTATCAGTTCGTAACAATTGATATTGCCGTTAATCGCTTTTACCCTGACTAACTTGATCTTCCTCTCTCTCTCTCTCCATCCTCATTCAGGCAAACATCGGAGGCTGATCTACAAGAAAACGACGAGTGAAGACTCGAAAAAAAGAAAGAGAAGAAGAAGAAAAAACGAAAGACCAGAAAAGAGGGAAAATGAGATGAGAGATGAGACGCGATGAGATGTATACTCATGCAATTGTCCAAAACCCCTATCATCATCCTCATCACTTCAATTGCCTTGTTACACTATTTAGAGCGTGTTCTCGTCGCATCACAGCCAAGTAAGTCATAATCTTTCCGTTTTTAAGCTTCTTTCCTGATCATCATCATCATCAACACCTTGGTTTTTATCACTTATCATGATGAAATGTGCAAATGCAAAGACTCAAAATGCTCATCTTTAAATTAAATAAGCGTAACAATTACTTTAATCTGCTTCTTTTTAAGAAAAACGTTAACATCAATTTTTCTGCTTCATCCTCGTTCTCATCTTACATTACTACAACATAATGGCATTACATTTATTAATGATAATTTCATTTAAATTAATTCACAATTTACATGTCATGCTACACACAACAATAAACTCTGTTCGTTCTGTTTAGGTTTTACATGATGATCGACATATTTTTACATGAAAAATTTTCATTTCTTTTTAATTTCAACCTTTTTCCAGACAATTACAAAACTCGATTTTCATGTTGAACCAAGTAAAACATTAACAAAAACAAGACTCAAAACTCAAGACTCAGATTTCATCTAAAGACGGAAACGTTTCCATCTTATCTAGATTAATGAGTTTCATCAGGAATAATAGCTTTCAATCATTTCACCCATTAACATCCTATTATAAGTACAGTTTAACCTTGAAATGTTTCAATCTCTTTAGCCTTCTCAGCCTTCATTCAATCCAGATCATCATGAAATTTTTACCATTCTTTTGATTATTAAATAATGTCAAACTCAATGGAACCCAGTAAAGCACAGTTAAGATTGGAAACAATTGTATCCCTAAATCACAAAATGACACAGTTTATCATCTCAATCAGCTTAACCTTACAAATTGAAAAACACTGACAAACTGTTGTCCACCCAAGTCATGTCCAACCTGAAAGGTTACACTTTTTAATCCACAAACGATCATCAAAATTGATTGCTGGTCAACAATAATCACTTTCCCTTTTCCATTGAATCCATTCTCTATCAATTAACCAACCTTTCAACCTAAATTCATTTGGACAAATAATTCAATTCAAGTTTAGCTTCAGTCTATTTTAAAACAAAATGTTTTTTCTGGTTCTGGTGTTTGCACCAGTTTTTGGTGAATCCAACAAAATGAATAGCTTCTCTTTAACATTAATTGTTCAGTTTAATCATTTAACCAGTTTTTACAAGTCTTATTACAATTGTTTACTAATTAATTATTGATCACTTTCAACCAGTTTAATTGAACCAGTTTTAAGTGTAAACAAAATGTGATTTACTGGATCAATGAATAATAGTTGAGCTTTGTTTCCATCCCATCATTAGTTAAATTAATCATACAATTGTTAATCAAGTGATTGAAACTGTCTACCAAACCATTTCAAATTGTTTTCACTTGATTGTGACCTCAGGCCGAACACATAAAAAAGGTGATTGAATTTACTTTACGTCAATCATCCCATTAATTGGCAACAATTTACACTTTGATTGTTGGTTCTTTTTTTCACCATCAATTGTTTTCCAATTAGTGATTAATGTTTAAAATAAAACAACAACAAAACCAATTCTCCCAATTAATCACTATTAATGATAACATCAAAAATATCATTGAATATCATTTTTCCCAATCAAGGTCAATCCATCAATTAATATGTAACAATTTAAAGCAAATCAATTAAAATCAACATCAATTGCAACAGTTAACCAGAAGTCAATAAAAAACAAAAGATATCGGGTTAACCGTGATTAAACCGTTTCACCCAAAAACGGGTTGACAATGAAACCAGAAAATATGAAAAGGTATTAATAATAATCAAGCGAAAGTGTAACATCATCGACACGATTAAAGGTCAGTTAATGTTAACATTTCACTTTTTTTGCTAATTAATTGGACTAAAGATTATATTAAGATTTAATATTTAAATGATAAACTTGAGGTCAACTTTAAATAAATGTTATCGTTACAATCATTTTTGTTGCTCTTCAGGTTTAACCAAATATTGAATGAAAAAAACAAAAGTATATTTTAATATGAAACCAATTGTTTTACATGAAATGGTTTATCATTTAAACCTTTGTTTTACATCTTTCATCTCATGTCCACCTTTACCATGAACTGTTGAATAAACGTTAATTTCATTGTTACCTTCAGGCTAAATCAACCTTTTAACTTTTCAATTTCACCTCAATATAAATGAAATCCTTTCATTGATCAACTTTCGATAGTTTGTTAATCTTGGAAAGTTTCATTTTAATCACGTTTAATGAACCAAAATTGTCTTCCATTTGAAACTTGATCAATAATTGATATTAACCATTCAATTAATCACATTAAATTTGCTCGCATTTGATGCTAATTTTAAATTTTGCATCTTAATCCATTTTTTTCTTCTTGTATTGCATTCACTTTGAGTTGAGCTTTAGTTTCGTTTTACCTGTTGGTATTTTGCTTTGTTTTTACCTTTGCTATCCATTTCTTTTCACGGTAAAAGTAAACCATTTTTGTTTATATTCATTTCTAATTGTGTTTGTACAATAATCAGGTTTTGTTACGATAAATAGGATCTTGAGGTCAAGGTACGTTATTCAATTGCCCATCTAATTAAGACTTTTCACTTATTCTTAACATTAAATTCATAATCATGACCTTGTTTTGTCCTATTTTCTCATCCTCATCATGTTCATCATTTTGTTCATCTTCATGTTAATCACCATTTCCGTATTAAAATTAACCTAAATCCGGATTATCTTCTTACTTTTCAATCATATTTACCTTAAGCCCACAACTTGAATCTCAATGTATTTGTATGAATTCAATGTCTCCTTTTAATCGGATTGTTGAAATTGTTGATATTATTGTTGTATAATATTTAGCATTATTGCGAGTCAACATCATTTCAATCAATTGAATGATCATTTGATTGATAGAAAATTCATTTTTACTCTTATTTCAATCATCAACTTGATTCCTATTCAAAGAAAAACTTTCTTGACTTGAATCAACATTGTGACTCTCTTTAGCCTTTACAGTAATTATTGATTGATTATCAATTTCAGCTGATAGTTGGCTGACAGTTAACCGGAAGAATCGCATTACAAATCAATTGATGTTAATGTTTTAATTAACTTGTATCTTTTAATGTTTCTTTCACCTTTTTCACCTTAATTTGGAGCAAATTTTTCAACTTTAAAATAACTTAATTCAATTGAATTTTGTGAAACTTTCTCAACAATTTATCAACTCTTTTTTAATGTTTTCCCAAATTTACTCAATTTAATGAAAGAAAAGGGTTAATCATGAATTTCAATCATATTTAAGTACAAAATTAACTTAACCTCAACAAGATTAAAATACTAATTAGTTTCAACATAAAATTATCATTAATCTTTAATCAGAAAAGTCATTTTGTCACAAGTGAAATGGTTACAAGTAAAGTTAGACAAAGAGATTACAATTTAATTTGCCAATTAATAGTCACTCAATCATCTAGTCGTGCATCATGCCATGAGCTTTGTCATGTAAGATGATTGATAATGTTGATCATGGATTGTTGTCTCAAATCTCATTCTAATCCAATGTTTTCCCATTGATTCCAGGTTACCCATCAGCTTATCCACCCGTGGTCCGTCATCCGGGAACATGTACCTTTCAAAGGTCTCAACCAGCCTGCACCTTCAGTCTACTGTGCTATCTAGCTGGTGGTGTACCGATAGAAGGCTGTGGCGGTGATATATCTGTAACATGTTGTATGCTTTACAACCCTTCGAGTCAAAATTTTGCCAGTGATTATTCAAACACTAATCTACCAATTCCACCGGGCATTGAGTTGCCTAACAATCATTTAACATCACCTCGTCTTCCTTCATCACCCTCATCGCCCACATCTTCATCACCCACTTCACCTCCTTCATCTTCATCTTTAACCTCTTCCCGTGATCATGCACTTCAAACAGCCTTTCATTCACCATCACAATCTCATCTTCCATCCTTGTCATCTTCCTATGATGACAACAAATCACTAGATAATGTTTATCGAAATACAGTTCGGAGATCACGTCCGTTGCCTTCATTTTTAAATAAAGAACGGCATTCTCGCAACTACATCGGTGACGATGGTTGGTATTAATGTTATAAAATAAGCTTGAATTGAATGGAAGCTAATCATTGATTCTTTGTTTGTCCAATAGTTTGTGGAAAACCAATTGCTAAGCCAACAAGTCGAATCATTGGTGGTCAAGATGCATATTTTGGTGAATTCCCATGGCAGGTTGGTTCGAATTTCCGATTTCGTGATTCATCTTGATATTAAAAGTATATTTTAATTTCTCTTTTCAATTCAGGTTCACATAAAAATCTCAAAACACCAATGTGGAGGAGCTCTTGTTAATCGTTATTATGTTGTTACAGCGGCCCATTGTGTTTACCAGTAAGTCTAAGAAGACACTTTTAGTGTGACAATCAAGTTTATTAATGACGTTTTGTCTTAATTTATTATCTTTCCAGAGCTCCTTTGGCTCAACTTTCAATCATCATTGGTGCCCATGACATTGAGGATCCTCGTTACCAAGAGGAACCTCCACAATATTTCAGTGTAACTGAAGTTAAAATGCATCCTAACTTTCGCTTTTCAGCCTCACACCCTGACAGATACGATATAGCAGTCCTTAAATTAGACAGAGCAGTTAGATATTCAAGCAACATAATACCCGTTTGTTTACCTCCAAATGGGTTTAAATTTGAATCTTGGTATGGAGTAGTAACTGGTTGGGGTAAAACTGATCCAGCGTTAAGTAAGTCTCTTTACCAGAAAACAAATTTGGCCAAACCCAAAAGCAATGCCAATTAATTTACCAATGTTAACCTCTTTCAATAGGTAATCGTTATGGGACAAGATTGTTACAGAAAGTAGACGTTCCTGTAATAAATAATGAAGAGTGTGAAAAATGGCATCGAACCAGAGGAATCAATTTGAAGATATTTCCCGAAATGATGTGTGCTGGTTATGAAGATGGACAAAAAGATGCCTGTGTGGTAATAATTTGTTTTCACTGATTTAATCACATTAAGATCAACTTTAAACATAAATTAACTTTATCCTTCTTTGCTTTCCAGGGAGATTCGGGTGGACCAATGGTGATATTTTTAAATGGTCGATGGGCCTTAGCGGGAATCACTTCGGCTGGGTTTGGTTGTGCTCAATCAAGACAACCAGGAATCTATCACAGAGTCTCTCATACTGTTAATTGGCTGTTGGCAAATATCAATGATTAACCTTAGTGTTGTTAGGAAACAAATTAAGTGATCTTAGAGCAAAAATGTTTACTTGACTGGTCTTGTAAATATTATTGTTACAATTAATCCAAATTGTACTTGTACTGTTTTTTTTTGCAAATTATTTAATTGAAGATCAACTATGTTAATTCAAACAAACCATGAACCCATTTAATCAATCAACAATGAGCTAAGTGAGACAATATCGAATGGTAAAGTTCAATGTGAAAACCCACCTTTGATTTCGAGTTTAGAAGTACATTTGAGACTGATTATCGAGTTAATTGTCATTTTTTGATTACTCGATAATTTTGAACCTTTTGGCCCAACCATCAATTTCATGCAATGAATTTTTTTATATCACGAGTGGTTCATTTATTTCATGAAATTGATGAACCAATTATTTTGTGTAAATTTTCATCATTTCTAACAAATTTAGCATTAAATTATGTTCACTGATTCGCTAAATTTATAATAAATTCATTTGCTTAATGTGAACCGGTTAAGTTTGAGAGTAAACCCGTCGCGTAAATTATCAATGGATAAATAAAGAATGAACTTTTTAAATTTCAACAATTAATTATGTTTATTTTCATCATCATTTCCAAGTGAACACAGGTTTCATCGTGAATGTTCAGGGCTTATCCGAGAATACTTTGTACGAGATCAATGACTGGTTCAGGTTCTGGGTTTGGTTCGGCTAAAAACACAGAATCAAGAAGGATTATTAGATTTTGAGATAAGTTCACAATCCAAATGTACGGTTAGGTGTGTTACTTACCCATGACAGCAGCGATGGCTGAGGCGAAGGCAACAACGTAGAAGATGAGAGTTTGGGATTCCATTTTAACGGTTAGGTTTGAGTAAGATTTAACTTTGCTTAACACAAGATTGTATAAGAAGACACAAAGAAAATGTTTGATACTCGAAACCCTTTTTGATTCGCCTTATATACCATTTCGGGTTCCATTTTTGAGGAAACACCTGAAAAGATCCGTCAATTGATTTGTCGATTTTTAAATTGTACCATTAATCTTCATCAAAAATATAATTAATCGCCACTCTTGATTATGTTGTAAATTGAAACAAAGGTAAATTAGTAACTTATAATAGTAAAGAGTATTTCCAAGTCACACATTCAGCTGGTTGATTATTTTCTCAATATACAACAATATTTAACATTAATTGGTTTTGATTTGTATTAGGGGATAAAACCACAAAAAAGTAATCAATAAAATAACATTTTGTTGCAAAATTGTCAAATATTCACAAAGAAACCCATTAATCAATATAAATCATTCAAGATGGTTGAGAAACGAGAACAATACTGATCATATGAAAACAATCAATCAAATGGCCTATTCTGGTTGATGATTTTTGTTTAACCAGATTTGGTGCTCCATTAACCTGGTCAGATATTTAACTACAGATGTTTTATTTTGGATAATTTGACTTGAATGAGTAAATACAGAAAGATGAGATTGTACACGAGCGAAAAGGAAATTAATTTAATAACAATGCGAATATCTTATGTTCACAAGATAGATGTTTTCATTTTAAAAAGTTAATTCAATATATTTGTTTTGATTTGTTCATTGGCTTGTTTCACAGGTGAGATAATCTAGTTAAAAAGGGTTTTACAAGAGCTCGGTATGTCCAATGAAATGGTACAGTCCGAGTGAAGCCAAGAAATGATTAAAAGCAAACGTTTGTTCAATAGTTTAAGATCAAGGTAGACAATCCCATAAAATTTGTTTAGTATCTTCAGTCAAAGAGTCCGGGAATTGAATGTCAAACACAATCACAAGATCACCTCTTTTGTCAGTGTCTTTAGGATGAGGTAAACCTTGATTTGGAATCTTTTTAATTGTATTTGGTTTAACTATGTCCGTTAACTTAAGGTGAACTCGTCCTCCAGTAATTGTCGGAGCTTTAACCATGCATCCACATAGAGCCTGAATAGTTGGATAAGAAATAAAAATCTATATTAGTATTGATTTTTCCTTCAAATGATAACCCATTAATATTCAATACACACAATTTCTTGGCAAATGTTCACATCAATTTGATATCATCGAAAAAACTGGTTAATATCAATCTTTGAAATCATTCTAGTCTAAAAGCTGTAAAACTTCAACATTCAAAAAATATTTTCTCAAGGAATCGAGCTATTTCCAGGCATTTGGATTAAGTCGAGATCAAAGCCACTTTTTGTTCACCTAAAATTGACTGATTTCAATGTACGGCTTGAAATAAATTTGATCAATAAATTGATAAATCTTGTCAGTAAAACCTCTATTAGACTCGGTTGCCTCAAAAAACACAATCAGCCTAATCAGCAAGACTCATTGTGACATTATAAATTTGCTAATTTTCTTTGGTATCCATGACAGAATGAGAACATTTTCAACTTGAATGAGTCAAAATTGAAGACATAAACATCCAGGTTGGCATAATTCGTTCACAATTTGCAATCATCATGATGACGAGTTGCGAGGTTTCTTCTGTACTGATGGTAGACATATAAATACATGTGTATACATATAAGTGTGTGTGTCTCTCTCTGTGTATATAAATATACATATAACAAGTTAATCCAAATTAACGTAGCGCATTGAAAATAACGAGCAACAGCAAGCACATGATTAAAGTTGCTTGCTATTGATGAAAGAGAGAGTGAAAATGAAGATGAGGAGATGAGATCAAAGTGGTAAAGATGATGAATAAAGTGAAAATGAGAAACAAGAGTAAAAATGATGAAAATTGATGTGATGTGTATTTTGCCCTCTTCCTCTCCATCTTTTCCTCATCTTTTCCTTACCTCTCTCAAAGTTATCTTGGCAATATATTTAACATCAACGCCTTCCCTTTTAAATTGTGAATCAGGTTTATCTCTTATAATGAAAACAATATCAGCTGGAATTCTGTTCGGATTTTGATCACCTTCACGTTGGAAAGTGATTTTGGTTCCTGCCTTCCAACCAGGTTTTACATTTATCGTTAAAACTTTATCCTCTTTACGGGACGATTTACCATCTGGGTTTAATATTTTCTTGGTTATCTTCATCCTTTTCACACAACCTTTCAAGATTTCTTCCAATGTCACATAAAGATCATGTTCAATTGGTGGATCTTGCTTTAAACCAGATTTAGTCCTATTTACATTGGTTGAACCGGGAGTAAATGAATGTGATCTGAAAGGATTGGATCCGGTTCCAGCACCATTTGTGTTTGACCGAGGTCCTAAAAATGGTCCAAAACCATCTGTTTCCATTAGATCATCATCCAGGTCAAAGAATTGAGCTTGTGGTCCTAAACCACCAAAGTTACTGTTGGAATAAAATGGAAGCAAAATTATTAATAAATGATAACATTTTAATTTGGATTTGAGGATTGGAGGGAGAGTTAATTGGTTATTTTGACAGTCAAGTATGTCTGTGAAATTAAATGAACCCTTCTAAATTGGTGCAATTTACATTTTTGGTAAATAAATCGTTGGACTCAAATTTCAACTTGGCTTCAAACCAAACCATAAGATTTGTTACATTTTTCTGTATGGACGGAACGAGGTTAGCTAAATCTAATGGAATCAAGTCAGATTGTTGATCAATTGTTTAAATTATTTTCTCAGTGAAATCATTGAAACTTGAAAGAAATCATTTAACCTCATCTATCAATCAAATTTACCACCGCTATGGTTAGTCTAATTTTCACACTAAACTCACAAATTGAGCAAGTCTCAACAATTACCATAACCCTGACAATTACAATTAAAGACAGTAACTACGCTTTCTTAATTTAGCTTTTTTATACATAATTTTTGTCTGGTTAAATCAAATTGGTGAGCAAACTGCTTTTAACATAATTTGATTATTAAGATTGGCTTTTGCAGGCCAAGAGTTCATTTCTGAACATAAATTTGTTGAGATCTTTTGAATCCAAACAATTGAAGATTTTGATAAACAAGGTCAACAACATATTAGTTAATTTGTCGATTGTTTTAAATGTTACAAACTGATTGTCTGATTTGACTCGGTTAGTTAAACCAGAAAAACTCAATTGAAAATGATTGATTGCAATAATCTTTGCCAAACACAGCAGCATTAACAGCACTTATAACAATATACTCGTCTTCAACGTTAAGTTCAATATCAGACTAATCAATGTGCATAATTTGATTTAAAAATTGTATTTTTAATTTTTGGCTGATGTTGACTGATCAACCATTTTCAACGAGTCAATCAAAGTCTGATCATTTTGAAAGGGTTGAAAAACAGAAAAAAAATGTCTCCATTGAAGTACAATTTTGAATTTATCGATAGTCTAGAGTCATCGAGTTTTAGATTGATTGGTTGATTTGTTAATTACAATTTATTTTAAGCAGGAAGAAGTAAAAGTTTCCTTTTTCTCAATTGGGCTTAGTTTTTTTACTATGTCTGAATGCGATGAATGAGGAAGAGAAAGAGAAGATGAAATTGGAATGTTTAGAGGTATTTTTGGAAATGGGTAATATCGTTGTTTAGATGAGTTTTCCTAGCCAATATTTTGTATCTCAGTATTGAAGATATTACTAGGAATAGTCTTCCTGGTGGCAAGTATTACCATGTTTCATTGGATGAAAATAAAGGTGATTTTCTGGTTAACTCAAGGAAACAGGAGAAACAACCAGTTGCTGGTAAAGGAAGGAAATCAATCGCAAGTAATAATAGGTGAAACCTAAGAATGGAAAATTTAAAGCCAAATGACGAAACCAGAAAATCATGAAATGGAAATAATTTTGAAATTATTAAATGCAGGTTGACTGGAAAATACAGCAACTCGCAGACTAAACGACTAAAGCTAATGTAGTGCGTAATCGACATGAAGGTTACAAACAGAAATCATATGTTATCAAGCTGATTAAATGGTTGGAAATGATTGCGGATAAAAATACTAGGATATTACATAAGGCAACAAATATCAAGTGAAAATCAACCTGTTGACTCAAGTGTGTACGAGCCTGGAATAACAAGAAGTAACAGTTTGGTGTTACACCGGAATAAAATAAGAAAGCAAACTCTACGGATTCAAGGTGGATCAATATCATGAGAGGATGAAGTCATGGTTTGGGTTTGAGTGGAAGATGAAAATACTAACCCAAAAAAGGCTTCAAAAGGATTTTCTGAGCCGAAAAATTGGGCAAAAGTTGCCCTTGGATCACCGTGATAAGTATAAGTAAAACTGGTTCCTCCACCGTGACCAGGATGACCAGAAGAACCAGAGCAACCTTTCAATCCTTCTTCGCCACACATATCGTACACTTGTCTTTTCTCCTTGTCCGATAAAACATCATAGGCTTCAGCAATCTCTTTGAATTTCTCCTCGGCTCCAGGTGATTTATTTTTATCCGGATGATATTTGAGAGCCAACTTTTTGTAAGCCTTTTTAATTTCTTCTTCACTTGCATTTTTGGACAATCCAAGAATTTTATAATAATCTTTACCAGCTTTAGGAGTCATTGGTATGTATTTAATTAAACTAATTCACTGGTTTAAAATATTAACAATACAAAAGATCTAGATAGGAGGTTTGTTATGATTTAGTAAAGATGAAAAAAATGGAGAGCTTAAAAGACGTTGACAATGGTGTTGATGGCTGTTGTCGACTTAATGTTTATTGTTTGTTGAACAATGTGAGTAAACACGGATCATTCTGATACACAATTAGATCCCAATGATGGATGATTAATTAACGAGGTGAAATGATTATTTAGATGAGTAAATAAACAGGGTGAGAAAAAAGCACAATAATTAGAGGCAAAACATTATCAAGTTGACAAGAAAAATAAAGCGCAATGAAGAGGCGAGTAAATAAGCTTATTTTTCAACTGTATTTTTAATGGTATAATAAACTGTTTTAGTTAAATTGATTTAATGTTCGAGGATCATTAGGTGGTGATGTTGATGATCGGTATAGTTTGACTCTATGAATACACAATCAGGGGCAAGGAATAAAAAAATATAATTTTAACCATTTACTCTTTGAGATTGAGAAGTTTGGGTTAAATCATGTTTTACTTTTCAATATTAAGCCCGTTAACATTATACACTTTAAATCCAATAGAAGATGAAACGAGTAAATAAGAATATTCTGGAGAATGATGATAGAGAGAGAGAGCTTTTGGCAAGTTATACTGGAAGGGATGGTTCACCAGTAATTTCATGTACAGTTGAGTGAGTTAAAAGGAAGGAAAGAAAAAAGAGTCAATTTGTTAATCATGGAAGGCGAAAAAGATTGTTCAACTGAATAATAAATAAGCATCAAAACAAATTGAAATCATGCAACTACCGAGGTTATTGTTGTTTTCTAATGCTCATTTGGTGCTCTTGATTGTGAGTCTAATCACGACTTTAAATTATAATTATGACCACAATTTGTAGAAATGATTCATGTTAATAACCAAGAACCCAGTACGTCGATTGTTATCATGATTTGACTTTTTTTCAATAGGTTAACTAAACCGTTATATAAATGCAACCAGTTTATAATATCGTGTGTAATTGCATAGTAAATGATAGTTTATCAGTTAATTGTTAACTGATTATTTGCATCTACAGTTAAAATCAGGAAAGGTACAATGTTGAAATATCAAAATATTAGACGAGTTAACTTTGCAACAGAAAACAAACACATTATGTGTCGATTGACTTATTCTGTCCGTCAACAAAGCTGGTCACTTATCGAATAAGACTTGATAAAGCTTTTCCAAATCCAAGGTTTTTAATCAGTTAATTTATAAGGTATTGTACATTCAATTACAATTGTTGGCCGTCCTCGAACGATATGATATTGAAAAAATAAGGCAACTCGTGACAATTGAGTCATCATGATTTTCCAAGGGCGAATGTTTTCATGCCGAATTAAATATTGACACCAAATAGTAATTACACAAGACGAAGAGTGTAAGAATAAATTACTTTATATTCTTCTTTTTTGCCTTATTTCTCTTGAGTAATTTTCTACGTTGTCTTGGATGCACCCAAACAGGGAAAGTACCATGTTGATCCATGAGAGTCTTTGCATTGCGCTTTGGCTTTTCAATTTCCATGAAATTTTCATCTGAAAAGAAAGTAAAAATCAGAATCCTGTGTTACCAATTGAATGACTAAATGGTCTAAATTAAGAGTAAACAAACCTTTCTTGTCACTATTAGCCTTTGTTTCTTCAGTTGCTTTCATATCAATTTCTTTAGGTTTAGCTAATTCGATTGATTCATTATTAGCTGCTTCTGCTAACATTTTCTTCAGCCTGTCCAATTCCTTTTGCCCATATCGGACACGTTTTATGGCTCTCATCTTCCTCTTGAATTTACTTCTCAATGATTTCGCCATTTTGATGAATATCAGAACAGTGACAGCACCCCAATAAAGATAAAAAAAACACAAAAATGAACAGGAAAAGTCACAATTAACTTAATCAACAAATAATAATCACAAACAAAATATGGAGATGAAATCTTTAAATTTTAACACATGGCTTTTGCATCCGAAAAAAACAAGAAATTAGACCTGACGCCATCTGTCGGGTATTTTTAGAGTGGTGTGCCGAAACCCGAATTAAACGCAATTCTGAATATTATCCGAAGTATTGAACGATTTGCTGATAATGAGGGATTTGTGATCAAAGAATATGAATTCACAAAATAATCATACTAACTGAAATTGAATTATTGGGAAATAAACTTTCATAATAGCATTTCGTAAATTATTTACAGTGATATTTATATCTAATGCTGAATTATGCAAGTTCAATTATGAAACAGATCCTCTGAATTTTCTTGAAATTATTTCTGGACTAGAGCTTCTTTCTCAACCTCTGTACTTTTAATCACCTTACATTATTAATTATAAGTTAAATTTGGTGAGAAATTTTTAGCTAAACAAATTATGTGGGATAAATAATTCTGGTAATAAATTAATCAGCAATATTTTGAAATTTTTGTCTAATCCAACAAACTCTGATTAAATACAGATGTATTGAAATTAGATGCATTTGTATTGTATTAGTCACATTTTAATAATAGATATAAATTGAGAAATAAAAATGAGAAATTCAGGTTGAAAATAGAGTTAAAAGACAGATGGCGATGTTAAAGAACTCTTTGAGCGGGAATCTTTGTAGTGAATGGAAGAAAAAGCGCCAAAAGGCAAAGAGAAAACAAGTTTGTTTAAAGTTATTAACCAGAGGACATTTAAACTTGATGTTCACCAGATCTTTAATCTTTGTCGTGTCATATTGTTTTTAACATTGTTTCTTGCCCTTTTAAACTTGATTTGTTAAACTAGTGATTTCATTTGACAAACTCTTCAATCTCCATTGTGTTTTATATGGCTACATCAGTGCGAAAAACCAGAAAAGATGCAATTAGCAAAACTCCAACAAGGAAGACAACTAAGACACCAACCAGGACACCGACCAGGACTCCGACCAAGACACCAACTAAGACACCATCTAAAACACCGACTCGACAAACAAAACTGTCAGAAAGTAAAAGTGCCAGAAAAACAAGGACACCGAAGTCATCTCTAGCATTGAAGAAAAAAAGTGAAGAGGATATAATTTCCAAGTGCAGAACGATAGATAGTTATTTCCAAAAGAAACTCAAAAATCCTACGCGAATAGAGCCCAAAAAACTGACCAAAATCTTTGACGATGTGGCCCGAATTGAAGAAGGACCATTGAAAGGATTACCATCAAGCTTGCTGGAAAAAATTAAAATCAAAAAGCCTGATGACGAGTTAACAGAAAGGAAAAAATTACTACAGAAGCTACCAGAAATGTTGAAAATTGTTCATCTTTATTTTTTGACTAGTCCAAAGCCCATTAAGTTGGAAACTCTAAGTGACAAAGTGCTCGATTCATACTATACTTATATTTCAACCGCAGATATCGAAAAGCAAATCAAAACGATTTGTGAGGTGCTTCCTGAGTGGGTAACAATGGTGAATTTGCGAGGAGTTAATTATATAAAGCCTATTGATAAAACTTTGACTCTCAACCATTTAACTGAGAAAATCGCGAAACTAATCAATTCTTAACTTGAATTAGATTGCTTTAATATTACATGCAAGTCTTTGCTTCCTGTTTTAATTAGCAAATCAGATCAAATTGTAAATTCATAATTTTTTATCAACTTGTAATTTAAAGAATCTGAGATCACTTAGATTCAAATCTGCTACAATTCAACTGTGAAGACTATCAACTTCTGTGATATATTATTTTCATTGAATCTTTAATGAAAAAAAGTTTTTCATTTTTATTGAAAACGATATTTGTAATAAAATGAACAAAATTACCAAAAACGTCTTGAATATTGAACAATAATTGAAATACAAAGCTTTGGTTTTTTTGTATGAAATATGGAAGGTTTATTATTATTAATTTATTTAATGTTTTTTATGTGATGAAATGAAATACATGGTAAATGATAAGTGATGATAGTAGATGATTTAATAATTTATATTAAATCAGCGACATTCATAGGCATTTCGTCAATTTGTGTACTGTAATATTGTTCGATATCTCTAAGGATTCGAATATCATCATTTTTAACAAAATTAATGGCAACACCTTTTCTACCAAATCGTCCTGATCTACCAATTCTGTGAATATAAAGTTCTCTGTTATTTGGTAAATCATAATTTATCACAAGAGACACTTGTTGTACATCGATACCTCGAGCCCAAACATCAGTAGTTATCAATACACGAGTCTGTCCAGATCGAAATTCTTTCATTATAGCATCTCTTTCTTTTTGTGGCATATCACCATGCATTGATGAGACAGTGAAATTTGCTTCTCTCATTTTCTCGGTTAACCAATCAACCTTTCTTTTGGTATTACAAAATATTACAGCTTGGGTAATGGTCAATGTGTCGTACAAATCACACAAAGTATCAAATTTCCATTCTTCTCGTTCAACGGCAACAAAAAATTGCTTTATACCTTCCAAAGTAAGTTCATCACGTTTAACCAAAATACGTATTGGATCAGTCATAAATTTACTTGTCATTTCCAGAATTTCATGAGGTAATGTAGCCGAAACAAGTACAACTTGGGTAAAAGGTGGTAAATATCTGTATACATCATAAATTTGCTCCTTAAATCCTTTATTTAACATTTCATCTGCTTCATCAAGGACCAACATTTTTATTGATCGTGTTCGTAAATTACGTCTTTTTATCATGTCAAAAACACGACCAGGAGTACCAGAAACAACATGTTGACCATAATCCAATTTTCTTATATCCTCACCAAGATTTGTACCACCAATACATGCATGACATTGGACATTCATATAATCTCCAAGTGCAAGAATTACTTTCTGAATTTGTACAGCCAATTCTCTTGTTGGACTTAAAATCAAAACTTGTGTCTCTCTTATTTGGGTATCAATTGTTTGAAGTATTCCAATGGAAAAGGTAGCTGTTTTACCAGTACCAGATTGAGCTTGACTAATTACATCTCGACCTTTTATAATTGGTTTAATGGCTCTCTGTTGAATTGCTGAAGGTTTCTCAAATCCATAAGCATATATACCACGAAGAAGATCTTGTCTTAATCCCATTCCATCAAATGTAGGTATAACCTCGACATCTTCACTTGTCTCAAATTCAATATGAGATAAATCCTCTGGCAATTCTTGTTTAGATCTACCACTTGAAGAAGCCATCATCACGCAAGATATAACTTGATTCACAGATCACAATTCAAAAATAATATGCAAGAAGATAATTTCAACTTGAGTGTGTGTTTCAAAAAAACTAAAACTAAATAAAGATGATTACAATTTATACTTTTTGTACCTTGTTTTTAAAGAGTTTCAACCAACAAAAATTAAACTGCTTAAGATTTTTCATGCCTTACGCCTGCGTATTTCACTAGATTATTCGCTAGATGGAGCTTAAATTAAAAAAATACACACTCAAAAAGCGCTACTTACAAATATTTTTACTTGGTAATTCATTTTATATTGTTTTTCGATTCGTTTACAATTTCTACAAATTCCAACAATTATTATCAATTACTTATTCTGAGTTTTAGTTTTATCCTTTACAATACAGTTTTATCATCATAAAATCTTATAACATTCAAAAAAATATACTTGAATAAACCGCGAGTGTTTCTAATAATATGTGATTGTAATTGGCGGTTTCACAAACGAAGAGCCTTTACATTGTTTCATCAGAGATTATCATAAGGTAATATACTTTGTTATTCTTGTTTTGATTTTCTTCATGTTTAATAGCTATTTTTTTCTTTAATTATAGATAACTATTATAGTATTGTTTTTTATATGTCCACGACAAACCAAATTACATTGGTCATAAGCAATGGAGAGAACTTTAAAGGATAATATTGACAATTCTTCAAGTCGACAAAGTAATGGATCATCACAATCTCGCATTTCTCGTAAAAACCAACTACAATTGGAATCTAAATACAAGCTGATGAATGACGAGATACGACGACTAAAAGAATCTGGAATAAATTCAAAGGAAGTGACAGAGAAATCAAAATTACTTAAAAAGAAACTAAAGCTAGCCAATGAACTCTCAAAGACCGCTTTTGATTCTGGATCTCAAAGATGTATTGAATATGATGCTGAATACTTTTTTAATGGATCTGAAGTTAATCATCTTGTTGTTAAATCACTTCAAGTTGACAGTCAAGCCTTTGATCCTTTGTTTTTTGCTGAAAAACTAAGGACTTATATTGCACCAGATACAAGAATAAGGTTTGTATTTTGTTTATTATACCATATTCAATCTTATGTTTATTTTATCAACATTTCAATACAATATTTGTTTCTTTTCTTGTTTTTTTTTCAAATTTATATTCAGAGATGATACAATTGACGAAAATGAACTTAAAATTGAAGACTTTGTTGATCTTGGAAAGAAATGTGCTTATTTAACCAACTCTGCGCCAATACTCAATTATTTATATGGATCATTTGACCCAGGTGAAGTTATTATACCAACTAAACAAAGACGAGTTGGTATCCGTAATATACTTGCAGATCCCAAAGAAGAGGCTAAAAAACCTAATTCAAAGGAAGGTATTGATGAAAGTGATGATCTTAAAAATGGTAAAGAAGTTGAACGAGTTTATAAGGAACTGTATGATATGTACAAAAAAGAAAAAGCTCCGATTCAATATTTCAAATCGATTGTTAAACCTGAATCATTTTGTGATACTGTGGAGAGTATATTTTATTCTGCTTTTTTAATCAAAGAAGGAGTACTTGCTGCTAAAGAATCAAAAATTTCTGATGACCAATATGCTGCTTTTATTGAACCACAAGATCCAGAAGAAATTGCAAAATGTCAAGAAAAAAAGAGAAAGAGTAAAAGTAGAAATAATAATGAACATAGTGATTCAGAAGAAAATTCAGAAGATGAAGATGCAGATGAAGATGAAGAAGACGAAGAATCATCATCTAGTCATCAAAGTATTTTATCTTTCTGCATGAATGATTGGAAAGCTTGGACTATCAATTGATATTCAAACATAAATATTGTATCATAGTCTGAATTTCTATTAAATGTTAAATTTTTTGCAACCTATTGTTCTGGCGTTTATTTTTCGCAGTAATCCAAATATTACAATATCATACAAAAATTTGGCATTTATGATGCAAAATGTTTTCAATTAAATCGAAATGGTTCAATGAGAAAGTGTGCCTTGCAATATTATTTTTGTCAGGTGAAATAGCAATGACAGGTTACATCAAATTCAAAACAATCATTGAAAGTATAGTGCAGCTGATTAGTCTTTAATATGTATTAATTGAGACCAAGATAATCATCCATCAAGGTTCCAATAGCAAAAATATCTTTAGCATCAACTCTTAATCCAACTATTTTCAATCGTATCTCATCGTCTTGTTGAATGACAATATCTTCATCTACTGTTTTATAGCATGGTGGAGACTGATTGGCATCGAACTGCATATCAGCTGGAATAGAGTGTCTTGAAATAAAACAGGATAGTGGACCGATTTCTGTAAAAATTCCAACTTTGTTAACTTGCGTTACGACAGCATCCAACACTTCACCTTTAAATGGCCTAAAGACAATAGCCCGGTATTTTATGGGATACAGGACGAAACCAGAGTTTTGTTGTATCAGTCCATGGCCAATATGATCGATTGTTGTCACAGCAATTATAAATCCATATTTGCCGGTACAGGAGCCTTCCACTTCACTGAATAGCTTTTGCTTGACTACATCTAAAAGCTGTGGACCAAAATATTTAGGATGAAGTTGAACCTCATGTTCAAGAGCTATATGATAGAACATTATCTAAAGCTGGTGAAGTTAATTAAACAATAAGATGAAATGAATATGGTGGAAATTGATGAAACGAGGATAAGAATGACAACAAAACAATTCAAAACGAAGCGGATAATGGTTTTTCACGCTAACATATGTGCGACCAACGGACTGGTTACTGTAACCAAGTAACCCAAATTTTTAGGGAGGGAAAATCAAAGGACTATAATTTATTTTTGATTGAATGATAAATTTTTGTTGTATTAATAACATTGCATTCACGCCTAATTTTTAGAATGTTGAATTATGACTTTGCTAACTGTTTTAATACAAGATTTCGCATTTTGATTTCTTTAGCCTTCATTGATTTGCAATTTTAAGCAAGAAATAATTGTGATGCAGTGAAAATTATTTTTGATGCTCGTTTCTGAATCCACGAAGAAAAGCACTTCAATTAAAATAAAATTATTTTGCCAATTTATGAACTTTTAATCACCTAACATTATTAATTAAAAGTAACTTTTGATAAGAAATTTATAGCTGGACAAATTATGTGAATAAAATAGTTCTGGTCATAGATTAATCAGCAATATTTTGAAATTTTGTCTAATCTAACAAACTCTGATTAAAATACAGGTGTAATGAAATTAGATGCATTTGTATTTGTATTAGTCACATTTTAATAATAGATATAAATTGAGAAATAAGAATGAGAAATTCAGGTTGAAAATAGAGTTAAAAGACAGATGGCGATGTTAAAGAACTCTTTGAGCGGGAATCTTTGTAGTGAATGGAAGAAAAAGCGCCAAAAGGCAAAGAGGAAACAAGTTTGTTTAAAGTTATTAAACAAAAGACATTTAAACTTGGTGCTCACTAGATCTTTAACTTTTGTCGTGTTACAGTGGAGTACCAGATACTGTCAGTAACTGGAAATAGCTTATATGCACAGCAAGTCTATTAATCGAGCTAAATTTTAAAATTAATTACAATGAATAATAAAATTAAAGTTAGTTGCTGGAAAAGTCTAACAAATTAATGTCATTGTGCTGAGGATCGTTAGTTGAGTTGAATTTTCAGAAATATTCAACTTTTTTGATAATTTCTTTATAATTTCAATTAAAACTTTCCTTATAGGGAATGTAAACAAAGGGTTTGAGGGGCTATTGAATAATCTACTGACATTATCTGGTACTGACACTATCTGGTACTCCACTGTATATTGTTTTCAACATTTTTTGACTTTTGTTTCATAGTTTTTTGCCTCGATTAGTAATTTAATTTTTTTGTGAATAATGCTGCCATCAGTGTTTAAAGCTATGAAAGATGCAACATCAATTACGACACCGTCTAAAACACCATCTAAAACACCATCTAAAACATCACTTAAAACACCATTCAAAACACCATCTACAACACCATCTAAAACCCCGAACAAAACACCAACTCGTCCATCAAAATCATCATCAAGCCTAAGTTCTAAAAAACTACGTACACCTAAATCAACTACAACAACAAAATCTAAAAGGAAAAATGATTTGGACATCATTGCTAAATGCAAAACAATAGACAGCTATTTCCAAAGGAAAGTTAAACAACCGACAAAATTGGAACCCAAAAAATTGTCAAAATTTTTCGACGATGTCGCCCGAATTGAAGAGGGTCCATTGAAAGGGTTACCAACCAGCTTACTTGACAAAATCAAACCCAAGAAGCCTGATGATGGACAGGCCGAAAGAAAAAAATTGCTACAAAAGTTACCTGAATTATTGAAAATTGTTCATCTTTATTTTCTGACTAATCCAAAACCAATTCAGTTAGGAATATTGATAGAAAAATGCATCAGTTCTTATTATACGTATATTTCAGTGCCGGACGCTGAAAAACAGATGCGATTGACCTGTGAATTGTTTCCTGAATGGTTAACTATAATATCTATTAGAAAAGTTGAATTTGTTAAGTATGTCGATAAGAAAATATCTTTAAATCAAATAAATGAAAAACTTCAGAACCTCATCAATTCTTAGAACCAAGGATAATCTATTAAGATGCATTAATCTATTAAGATGCATTAATCTATTAAGATGCATGAATTAATCATGACAAATCATGAATGAATCTCAGATTGTAAACATGTATAAATTGAATTATTATACAAAATAAATTATTTACACTACTTAAATTCGTCTTGGATGTTTTTCTTATTTCAAATGTCAATACAACAAATTATGTTAACACACAGCAATCGAAATAAATAATTTCGTAAATGGACGCAATTGTTGATACAACAGTGTTTATTTATAATATCGTGCATTAACGCTAACAAGTAAGTAACTTATAAGTATAAGATTGGTCCGGATTAAGGAATGATATGTTTTTTGACTTGAGATAAGAGTTACACTTTCGAGTGTTTATTATTTATGTTTGAATATCAATTGATAGTCCAAGCTTTCCAATCATTCATGCAGAAAGATAAAATACTTTGATGACTAGATGATGATTCTTCGTCTTCTTCATCTTCATCTGCATCTTCATCTTCTGAATTTTCTTCTGAATCACTATGTTCATTATTATTTCTACTTTTACTCTTTCTCTTTTTTTCTTGGCATTTTGCAATTTCTTCTGGATCTTGTGGTTCAATAAAGGCAGCATATTGGTCATCAGAAATTTTTGATTCTTTAGCAGCAAGTACTCCTTCTTTGATTAAAAAAGCAGAATAAAATATACTTTCCACAGTATCACAAAATGATTCAGGTTTAACAATCGACTTGAAATATTGAATCGGAGCTTTTTCTTTTTTGTACATATCATACAGTTCCTTATAGACTCGTTCAACTTCTTTACCATTTTTAGATCATCACTTTCATCAATACCTTCCTTTGAATTAGGTTTTTTAGCCTCTTCTTTGGGTTCTCCAAG